TTATTCAAGAAGTACACAACGTTTATGATAAACGATTTTTAAAGAAATAATTTTTTAAAATAAAAATTCTATAATTTTTTGTCTAAAAAATATTTCTTGTAGTATTCATTAATCAACAAATTATAAAAGAATATTTTTTAAGGCAAAAAATTATAGAATTTTTCATTTTAAAAAATTATTTCTTTCAAAATTGTTTATCATAAACGTTGCGTACTTCAGCTTCGTCAAGAAATAATAATGTCCAAGTGAAATATTTAGATTTGATTAATTTAATCAAGAAACTTATTATATTTTAGTCAACTATAATTTTGCTCATTTTTTAACATTTAAAAAAGAAATTCTAGTCTTTATGCATTTTAAATAGGTAATAATAATTAACCTAGAAAGTCAAGAGCATAGCAAAGTACACTTTCTAGATTCTAATAATTAGAGCTTAATTAGTCACAAGTTAAATAAACAAAAGAAAATGTCACGATCTTTTATTAATTTTTTAATATGAAAGTCTTTTATTACAAATATAGTACCAAAATTGTACCATTTTAATGTAATAAAAGATCGACATTATGAAAAAAGAAAAAATATATATATATACAAAAAAAGAAAATTAAAAATAAATTAATAAAACACTTTAAAATCCTACCTGTTAATATAGAATGTTCAGAAATATTAGTATTTTTTTTTTTAATAAAAATTGAAAAATTGGGAAAATGGTAAATTTTTGTTCATACAAATAAGCGTGCTTCAGAAGAAACGATAGATTGATACATGATGTACTTTGTAGCGAAAAGAATTGCAAAGTGACAGATTTTAAATGACATTGCGCAGGTCAGAAAGCTATAGACGTCTCGTGACTATTACCATAAATGGCCTTGAATAAATAATAAACAAATTGAAGGTCTTGCTACAAAGTTTTTATTCTTATGAGAAAAGCTGATTACAAAAAATAAGTATTAGGGTACATAACTGATTATATTTCGAATAGAGCCTATTACTTTTATAATGTGGTAGATTTCAAGTTTAGCGAACTTATAAGCTTGTAAACTTGACCGATGAATTTTTAATAAATTTCTCTAACAAGACATATCAACAACTTTACGATAACAATAATGCGACTTAGCCAATCGCATTAGTATGAATAATTAATTTACAAAGGGGAAAAACCTTTGACTGAAACGAATGAATGACCTTTGATTGTTGAAAAAAAAAAATTCTAAATTTAGCAAGACTTAACACTTACTTAGAAATTGGATTTTAATTAATTAATTATTATTATTCCGTCAATTTTCCAAAACAATTTTATTCAAATGTTTTCATATTTAGTTTCATTAGTCATTTTCAATTTTTCTTTTTCAAATAGCGATCTTTGTATATTTTTTAAAGATTTTATTATCTTATTTATAATAATTATTTATTTGTATTCTACGATAACTGTCCATATAACACTTAAATCTAACAAATAAAATTTTCGCTACTCCGAAAATTTGCATACACAAAACTGCTGTAAAACTAATCCAATTTAACATTTATTAGAGAGATTTAAAGAGCTTTTTCCTATACATTAAGAATACAAAGTTCGAAATTTTTAATAAATTTACCATCGACTAATGGTGAGGTAGATTCCTAAATTACCAGCAGCCGGTAACTTGTATATTTTCATTTTCCTTTTATATGAAATAAGAGCAAAGCAGACATCTGCCTTATCAGCAAATGGTGACTTAGATTTTTCTTGTTTATCTACTTATGGTAAAGTAGATTCCTGCACTATCAGCAGTCGGTTACTTGCAGACTTTTTGTTTTAACATCGCTTTGAGTAAATTCACTACGTCATTGTTTAAAATACATTTTGATTATAATAATAATGCTATTAAGTTCTTAACTACGATATTATTAGTAATTGCGTAGTATTATTATTATAACGAAACAGTATTTTAAGCAGTGACGCAGTGAATTTACTCAAAGCAATATTAAAACAAAAAGTCTTCAAGTAACCGACTGCTGATAATGTAGGAATCTGCTTTACCATCAGTAGATAAATGAAATAAATTTATTTATCATATGATATAAAGATAAATGTATTTTTTGATAGTACTCCTGCTAACCGTACTTACAATTTCCGACTGTAATCAAATTCAAAACGCATAGGCTAGGTACACCTCAATGAAATTGAACTCAATGACAATTTCTATCAATGAAACAAAAGAGCGAGAAAACAAAATGAAATGATAAACTGCCTAAACTAAAGGACTCCTGAGGTAAAACAGATGAGCCAAAAGTTTTGAACGTTCATATGAACGAAATTTGATATTCAAACGTCTAATCGTTTATGGTTTTGAATTTTTATGAACGATAGAAAAAACAAAAGACTAATTATTTCACATCAAAAGTGTTTTTTTTTACTGAAAGTACAAAATTTTATAAAAAAAAGAGAATATATTAACAATTGAACAATTGTTCCTGATTATATTAAAGTTATGAACTATGTAGCATTAATATTATAATCAATAAATATTTTACTTAAACGGTGTTAAAAAAAACCTTAATTTACCAACTGATAATAATGTGGTAATTTACCTTACCAACAGTTGGCTGAGAAGGAAATGAAGAATATACAAATTATCGACTGTTGTTAATGTAGGAATCTGCATTACCATCAGTAAGTAAAGAAGGAAATTCGCTTGAAATATTAGCTGTAACCTGTTTTTTTTATCGTTAGTTATATTTCGTCTTAAAAGTAAGAGAATGGTTTTTTTTATTCTATTTATATGTTCTATACGTCGTCTTCACAGATAAAACCGAAAATAAAAAACTATTAATTAGAAATAAGGCTAAGACAATGTGAGAAATTCCCACGTGATCTATTATAGAAAAATGTGTTTTTCGAAAACCAAAGTTTCTCTGAAATCAAAAAAGATTTGTAGCTAAAACTTTTAGATATGATAAAGAAGGGTTCAATTGCACATCGCTGTACTTCTTAAAAAACATTAAATTATTGAAAAAATAAGTTTAAAAATTCACATTTTTTAAATGAAAATGGCAAAAAACATGGTGCGAAATAGGTACACAAAAGTTGCGTGAGTTTATTAGATAAAAACGCTAACAAATTAAATTTTAATTCAAAATGTTGCACTTAACATTATAATTTCAAATGGAATGTGTAGTTAATAAATTGTAAACATTTTGAAAATAGAAAATTAGTCAAACATGTTTTCCTTGAATATTAAATAAAATTTTCCTTTCTCAATTACTGAATAAATGATTATAAAAATCGATTAACAATATAATAGTCTTTTAGTGTTCTAAAAAGCAGCAACTTGAATGGTTATTTTTATAAAAATTTACCACTAAATTGTTTACCGTTGAATGTGTGTAGAGCAATGAAAATATTATTTGGATTATGTACATACATTGCAATAATTTGTGACTTCATTGCTATTGATGGAAAAATATTGGAGTCTGAAAATTCTGTAAGGAATATAAAATGTCAATTTAGTAAAACGATATTGTCTTATTCTACTCTATATATTTTATTAAGTAATTGAATAGTGTTCAATGAACAATTTAGTTTATACGGCATTTTTGTTTATAGGTTTATATACAAGAATGTCCGAATAATTTGGAACTCTTTGTAGCTGAAGAAGATCGAACTGAAATGTTTTGTGACTGTAAAGATAATTTACTATATCATCAGCAACATAATTCTTGCTATCATGCTTATCGAAAAGGTCCCTGTCCAATTGGATATTATTTTATAGTTCCGCCCGGTGAAATCGTGGCAAAATGCGAAAAAAATCCTTGTGAGATGGATGGTCTTGTTCCTTATAATGGAAAGTGTCACACTCTTTGGAAAATTGGATATCCCTGCAGTGATAATAGCAGTTATTTAGGAATCAATGATAATTTTCAAATAGAATGTGATGACTTAAAATATGCAAAGACGATTAATGGTGACGTAAGTTAAATTAAACCAAAAAGCACTTGCATTCTAATAAAATAAATGACATAAATTTATCTTTAAAAACATTTTAAAACTAAAACTCCTATAGGTGATTTGAATTCTTATAAAAAGTAATGAGAAATACTTTCTTAGTCGAATTCTTTTTGTAAAATTAATTTTGTGACGTCACATAAATCCAGTCCTCTTATATTATATCCTTTTTATTTGATTTTGTTTCAGAATTCATTAAAATTCTGTCCAGCAAATGCGTATTTTCCTTCAATAGACGATCGTCCGTATAATTTTATTTGTGAGTGTAGAGAAACATTTATATTTTATCCAACAAATTTTTCATGTCACAAAGCTTACATACAAGGTCCTTGCCCCGAAGGAAGTTACCTAACACATGCTCCAGGAGAGAGACATCCAAAATGTGAAGTAAACCCTTGTCAGTATGATGGTCTTGTTCCATTTGAGGGAGGTTGTCATCAAATTTACAAACATGGATCTCCATGCCCTGATTATTCTTATCAATTAACAGTTACAGCAAAAAGCTTTAAACCAAAATGTGTTAAGTTTGGTTCTCCGAGAGGAGGAATTGTTAGTGGGATTATAACTGCACCTGTCAAAGCTTGTACACCAGGAAGTACACGAATCATCTTATTAGGATGTAAACGTGTTTTTTTAGTTGAAAAACCTAAAAATTTAACTGAACATTAATTTAACGGAATTGTCATTCAACAGTTTTAAGTGATTCAAATTTTTAAATGCCAGAATTTCCTATTCACCAAATTTTAATTTGTTCAAATTTTTATTTGATAGAATTCGTAAAACGACGATTTTTCATTTTTCCGAAACTGCATATGTACAACAAACAAATCGACAGAATGATTTCGACGCGAATTTTAAAATTCAATTAATCACAATTTTCTTAATAATTTCTAATTGGTCACCAAAATCATTTGCGCAAGAATTTTGGTAAAGATTTGTATGCTCTGCAACCAAATTATACAGAGATGAAGAGAAAAGGTGTCATCCAACATATAAAAAGTGCTTTTGCTTCGCTTTGGCTAATAAAAACCCTCCTGCAAATATGTCTGAAGCATTACTAAATATTCCAGAGCATATGTTTGGCAATCTTGAAGAGATTGGTGTCTCGGAAAATTAAAAAATGTGAAACAATCGCAGACAATTTTACTAGATGATTTGAAACTTAAAAAGAACTGCTTTAACTCAAGTGAATGACAGCATAAATAATATTATGTTCCATAAAGCTCCCAATAATCGATACTTTAGTCTAAATGAATTTGCAGATTACCGTTTCGCATCGCTTCCTCCCTGGCGACTTACCTTACCACAAATAAACCTAGATTTACATCAATTATCCAAAAAGAATACAGTACCTTTCTTATATGGGGCACACTTTGAAGAAATAAAAACAAAATTCCTTCTTCTTCTCCTTCTTTCTTTTTTATGACTTTTGGCGTAGCCGACTGTCAGAACAAATATCAACTAGAAGAGGAAAAAGTCTCCATAATAGACTGAATGAAATATATTTGGGTAATACAGGCCAAAAAGCAAAGAGGTAAGCTTGGATGATAAGAAATTCGAAATTGAGTCAAAAGCGTTTATCCCTTTGATACGGACTAGCCGAATATAGAGAGAGTGACATTACTATGTGTTGGATTCAATTCATAAGACAAAACAGACTCCAAGAGAAGTATACATGAAAGAATCAAATTCAAAACGCATAGACTAGGTACACCACAATGAAATTGAACTCAATGACAATTTCTGTCAATGAAAATGAAATGATAAACTGCCTAAACTAAAGGACTCCTGAGGTAAAACGGATGAGCCAAAAGTTTTGAACGTTCATATGAACGAAATTTGTTTTGCTACTTCTTTAAGTACGAATTTTATTACAAAATATTGTTTAAAATATCTAAAAAGAAGTTATTAATTCAATAATTGTTTAATTTACTGTTTTATTTTACATGGTCATCATAATTTTTAAAAATTTATAGATTTGAAAAAATATTTCGTTCATATGAACGTTTAGAACTTTCGGCTCTATAAAACAGAACAGAATGAAACAGACTCCGGCTTATTTCAAAAACATCAATGACTACTGTAACGAGAGTATAATGTAAACACCGGGTTTCAATCACCTTGAATAAGGGGTATACAATTAAGATATTAAAGTATTGAATACCACAGTTCTGCAAGGTCACAGAAAGTCAATAATGAGTCACTCAAAACTCTAACTAAACCATGAAAAAGCGCGGGAGTGTAGAACAGCACGAAACAGCATATATATAAAATAGAAAAAATGGGTCATTCAAAAAAAGGGGGCAAAAATTTTAACAATTGAGCAGAACAATTACAGTGAGCGAGAGTAAGAGTCTCACACTCGCCTGAAGAACCAAAACATGTAAACGACCAAAATCAGAACAAACTTTGAAGAACACTTTTAGAGAGCACGTGGTATAACACATTAAAAGTTAAAATGTTATAAAATTGCTTTCGAAAGCAGAACAGTTCATTTAAATTCACTGCACAGAACTTGGCTAATATAAAGAACACTCAAATGTTAAACAAATAAAACAGGGGTTCCGGATGCAGGGTTCACACTCTTGAAGTAAATCTGCAATTCAAATTACCCGAAACATACCCCATTTTTAAATGCGAAACATATGCAATAATAAAGGTCTTAATTTTTATTGATTACTCACATCAAAACAAATTTATAATTTTCTCTGACTCCCTCAGCGGTATCAAAGCCATAAAAAATTCTACAAAATTAGTCAAGAAATACAAAAACTCAGTACAAAAATAATACAAAATGGAAAAAAAATTCTCATATTTTGGATTCCTTTTTACATCGGAATACCAGGAAATGAAATAGCTGACTCCCTTGCAAAAATTGCATGTTCCCTTGAAACTATCGACGAATCAGCAACGATTGTACCCCAAGATTTGAAAAAATTCTTCAAGAACGCAAGATTGGAATTATGAAATCAAGATTAAAAAACCAAGTCTTCTACCAAATTACACGAAATCAAAAACAACGTTTATGAAACCCACCACATCTCACTGAACAACATCAGAGACCAAGTAACCTTTACTTGCCTACAAATCGGACATATACCTACCTTACTCATTATCGCTTGATAATAAGAAAACAACCTCCCTTCTGCAACCAGTGTCTAGTGAATATTACAACAAAACAGATTCTAGTGGATTGTCCTATTTACAATATGCAAAGAAATCGAGTTCAAATCAAAAAACAATTCAAACCTATACTCAACGACAACCAACAGTTTCAAAAAGTTCTAAATCTACTAAAAACATTAAAATTATTAGAATTAGTTTAAACTCAAAATTTAAAAACTCCAAATAATTAAAACACTTAAAAAAATGTTCAAAATCAAAAATTGTAACTCCAAAATCATATTAAATTAATTATTGTATTAAAATTAATTAAATTGTATCTGTTTTGCTCAAAGACCGAAAACACTCATTTAGCGAAAACATCGACCATAACGCGTTGTTGTGGCTCCTTCGATTCGTCCACATCGCGATATTCGAGTTATGACATGAGAAAAAGTGCTCTAAACGCGTTGTGGGAATTTATAAAGGACCACAACGCAAAAATTCGCTTTGTGGCTGCTATAATATTCGACCACAACGCATTGCGGTAATTGAGGAATGTCACAACGCATTCTGACTTCTTTAATATTTAACCACTACGCATTTTGGTAACTAAGAAATGATCAAGAATAAATTACTGTAGAAATTTTTCAATAAATACTATATAATTTTATTTACACTGAATGAAAATGATTGAAAATTTATTTATTTTTGCAGGAACTATTATAAATTGCATTTAATGTTTTTGGAATGACACTTGCACCTTTTGTCCTTCATTGATCCCGGACAGCTCCGAAACTTTGACTGAACCTCGCTTGACGAGGTTCGGGAACTTGAGTCGCGAGGTCCAAACGAGGTTGAGTTGATGTTTAAATGTCCGCGTATAATAAAGGTCAGTCACAGAGGTTGGCTGAATATTGGATTTGAATTTCTGTTAAATATTAAAATTAAAGATTCTTGGCATATTGTGAGGGGATATTTAAGGAAATTAAAAATTCAAGATTTATTAAATGTAATCGTTAAATATTCTGGAAATTTAGAAGGAGCATAAATACAGAAAAATAAAAAGAAAGCAAATGAATTTAAAAACCCAATGGGAAAAATGAATAATTAATAATTAAATTAAAATAAAAAAATGGTCATCAAAGTATTAGTGAAACCATTTCTTCTAAAACAGAATTTGTCTCAAATCCAATAAATAGGAGAGACATCGGGCAGAAAAAAAATTTCGACAAGAAAAAAATTTTCGATCACTGCTTATATACCAATCTAATGTCACCTCAACTGCGAGAAACAGTTATGATGTTCGCCCTCCCTGTGGCGTTGAGCGAACTAAAGTCCAGAGCTGAGCCATCAGCGCAGCGCGGGAACATAATTTTTTTGTTAAATATTCGTAGTAAAAAAAAATTTTCTACTACTACTACTACTACTAAAATTTATTGAATAAAGTAATATTTGAAGGTATTACAATCGTTGAGGCTATTGACATACTTATAATAGAAAATTGATCAATTAAGTATCAAAGCATGTGATAGGTAATTAACGAACAGCTTGTTTACAAGAAAAATGTGATATGATCATTTCTTAATTACCTAAATGCGTCATGGACGAATATTAAAGAAGTCAGAACGTGTTGTGTCATTTTTTCAATTACCGCAATGAGTTATGATCGAATATTATAGCAACCAATGACCCTGGCAGTCGATGCGACGTTCTAAACAATGCAAAACAGAAGAATATTAGAATCTTGCGCACAACACTATAATTTTAAATAAAATGTGTAGTTAATAAAATGTAAACATTTTGAAAATAGAAATTTTGTTTATTTATAAAGTTTTCTTTGTCAATAACATTTTATTCAAATACACAAAATTTTTTTAAATTTCTTTTTTAAAAGAAAATAATAGAATTATTGAAAAGATTAATTTTTTTGTGTAAAGTCATACCAGTTTTCCTTGAATATTAAATAAAATTTTCCTTTCTCAATCACTGAATACATGATTATAAAAATCGCTATACAATATGATAGTCTTTTAGTGCTCTAAACAGCAGCAACTTGAATAGTAATTTTACTAAAAATTCATTACAAAATTGTTTACCGTTTATTGTGTGTAGAGCAATGAAAATATTAATTGGATCATGTACATACATTGCAATAATTTGTCACTTCATTGCTATTGATGGGAAAACTTTGAAGCCTGAAAATCCCGTAAGGAATACAAAATGTCAATTTAGTAAAACGACACTGTCTTACTTATTCTACTATAAATAATTTGTTAAGTAATATAATAGAGTTCAATGAACATTTTGAATTACAGAATATTTGTATCTTTTAATTTTGTTAAATTTTTGGTTTTTAGCATTAAATATAAATAGTTTATCAAAAGTTTTATTTTAAAATCAAAGAAAATAAGAATTTTGTTTTACAATTTTTTGAGTTTTTAGGAGCCAAAAAACAAAGTTGGTGATAAAAAAGACGCCTTAGATTTTGGAAAAATTATTTTTTTATTTTTAGATTTATTTTAAAGAATGTCCGAACAATTTGAAACTCTTTGAAGCTGATGAAGATAGGTCTGAAAAGTTTTGTGACTGTGAAGAAAATTTACTGTATCATCAAGAACACAATTCATGCTATGATGCTTATCGAAAAGGTCCCTGTCCTTATGGATATTATTTTATAGTTCCGCCCGGTGAAATCGTGGCAAAATGTGAACAAAATCCTTGTGAGATTGATGGTCTTGTTCCTTATAAAGGAAAGTGTCACACTCTTTGGAAAATTGGATATCCCTGCAGTGATAATAGCAGTTATTTAGGAATCAATGATAATTTTCAAATAGAATGTGATGACTTAAAATATGCAAAAACGATTAATGGTGACGTAAGTTAAATTAAACCAAAAAGCACTTGCATTCTAATAAAATAAATGACATAAATTTATCTTTAAAAACAGTTTAAAACTAAAATTCCTATAGGTGATTTGAATTCTTATAAAAAGTAATGAGAAATACTTTCTTACCCTGGCGGATTCGATTTGCGTAATGTCTACTTAACTAAGCGGACTTTAGGTAGACATTAGGTAGACATGTAAAAAAACGTATAAAAAAGCTATTAATCGACTTATTATGATAAAAAAAAGTTGATAAAAGGGTAAATGAATGTTTATAGAGTAAATTCGTACAAAATTTGTAATTAATAAAGCAATAAATAATTAATAATGAATGGAAATGTGCGCGAGGTACCTGATCAGTTCAGCTGTACAATTATTTTCGTGCTATTTTCATGAAAAGAATATAAATTAACTGCAAAAACAATTGATATTTATAAAAAAGTGTAAAATTGATTTAATTTTATTGTTTGCAATACGAATTATTAAATAATAATTAAGTTTTTATCAAATGTGAATAGTGTTGTGAAAACCTGTGAAAACTAATGAGTTACTACATTACCGATCGCATATGATAATAAAAAGTTCTCGATGAGTGTAACAAAAAAGCTGCAATCATGTCCGTAATTTTGGACGAGAAACAATTATGAAATCAATAATTATTTGTATAACTTTATTCTGCATTTTAAAATTCACTTTTTATTTTCTTTCAAAGCAAAAGCTTGGAAGAAAACATGCTCGCACTGTATTGTAAAAACTGGTGGCGCCATCTCTCATATGCGATCGGTAATGTAGTAACTCATTAGTTTTCACAGGTTTTCACAACACTATTCACATTTGATAAAAACTTAATTATTATTTAATAATTCGTATTGCAAACAATAAAATTAAATCAATTTTACACTTTTTTATAAATATCAATTGTTTTTGCAGTTAATTTATATTCTTTTCATGAAAATAGCACGAAAATAATTGTACAGCTGAACTGATCAGGTACCTCGCGCACATTTCCATTCATTATTAATTATTTATTGCTTTATTAATTACAAATTTTGTACGAATTTACTCTATAAACATTCATTTACCCTTTTATCAACTTTTTTTTATCATAATAAGTCGATTAATAGCTTTTTTATACGTTTTTTTACATGTCTACCTAATCTCTACCTAAAGTCCGCTTAGTTAAGTAGACATTACGCAAATCGAATCCGCCAGGGTAGTCGAATTCTTTTTGTAAAATTAATTTTGTAACGTCATATAATTCCTCTTATATCGTTTTCATTTGATTTTGTTTTAGAATGCATCAAAATTCTGTCCAAAAAATGCGTATTTAACTTCAATAAATAACAATTTGGTTAATTTCATTTGTGAGTGTAGAGAAACATTTATATTTTCTCCAACAAATTTTTCATGTCACAAAGCTTACATACAAGGTCCTTGCCCCGAAGGAAGTTACCTAACACATGCTCCAGGAGAGAGACATCCAAAATGTGAAGTAAACCCTTGTCAGTATGATGGTCTTGTTCCATTTGAGGGAGGTTGTCATCAAATTTACAAACATGGACCTCCATGCCCTGATTATTCTTATAAATTAACAGTTACAGCAAAAAGTTTTAAACCAAAATGTGTTAAGTTTGATTCTCCGAAAATTGTTGGTGGGATTATAACTGCGCCTATAAAAGCTTGTACAGCAGGGAGTAAACGTGTTATTTTATTAGGATGTAAACGCGCTTTCTCATGACCAACAAACTATCTATAGAAAGAATTAAAAATTCGTCAAATTACGATTCAGTGAATTGGAAATTCTCGCCATTAAAAATTTTAATCACTTAAAATTATGTTTAATGAGAATTCTGGTTAATTAATATTCGGAAGATAGGTACCTAAAAATTTTATTAAGTCAAAATCATAGAGTTAATAGAAATATAGAGTGGATAAGGTATAGGTAATAGCACAAGAAGAGATAGGTTGCTGTAAGAAAGAAAGAGGTTGAATCTAAAACCACAGGCTGTCCTTCTCTAAACTGCGCCAGTGCGCAAGTGCAAAGTTCTGTACCAATAGAAAATTGTCATGATACATCATGATGCAGTCTCTTAGCTGTCGCGCATGCGTGATTAAAAAGAGACAAAGATTGGTTTTATTTTCTTTCTCTTTCTATCGAGTGGATATTTTAGGCGAGACCTTAGCTTTACCCACACTATTTATATTATCTATATGTTAAAAATTCGTTTTAAAAAAAAATTTCAATTTATTAATTCGAAGAATTTTTATCTAAAAAATAATAATATCTAATAAAATGTTTTAAAGTGAAAATTTTAACTAATGATTAAACAGCAATTATACTAAAATAAGAGTTTTCCAATGGTTATTGTTTTACAACTATTTACTGCTTTATTAGTATTTTTTGTAAATTTAAATTGTTTAAAAATTTTGTTTACTAATATTAATTTTTCACTTTTTAAATTTCTTTGAATTTTAAATACCTATTTTTTTAAAATTCTTTTTAACTAAATTTATTTATGAGAATCCAAAAAAATATAACAATAAATTAAGGGACAGGGTTATTTGGAACATTTATGCTCGTATAAATAAAAATACACAATTAATTTAAACAATATATTGTTATTAATTTTTATGTTACAATTTCATACTATAAATGCATTTGGTTACTTTTAACTGTTAGCAATAACGACAAGTATCCCATTGATGTTTTTAAAATCTGAAAATTAATAAAGTTTAATGTCTCATGGTATACAAAAGTAAATACAAATAATTTTCAGTATAATAGTATTCTATTGATGTTTTGAAAATTTGTAAATTCAAAAAATAATTTCTTTTTCTTTACGTTTCCAAATTTTTGCATGTTCATAACACAAAATTTCGCCGCTGTTAATTGTGCCGGTTTCCTGCAACGTTGAATAATAATCATTAAATTTCTCATTTTTTTTGGTGGTAAATAAAACCAATTGCAATTATACGCAGACTGTCCAAGTGTAATGCTCTAGATATAATTAATAGATAATTATAGAATATTATATTTATACAATATAAACATGTTTATAGTTTATATCTAACTTTTTTAATTCAATGATTTTAAACTAAATTATGAATAAAATTTTTTATTTCAAAAATTTTAAATAAAAATTCAATTTTATATTTATTTCTAATAAATCATTACCTCATTTTCAAGTGCCTCTGATACATAACAGTAGATGTATGAAATAGATAAAACATAAATGAGATATTCAACAACAAACATTTCTTCCATAAAAAGTGATTTTGTTTGTTGTAATGTTAGAAACTAAAATGTTTTTTTGCAGATAAAATATATTTTTTAGATGATTGTAATGTTATTTTTACAATTTTTTTTTCAAAATGTAGTTTCTTACTTGTATCAATCTATAACCCTGAAGACAAAAAAGGATACTGTGAGCCAACAATTGAATAAGAAGCATTATGCAAAAGCAATCCTCCAATAATCCAAGACATCTTGAGAAAAATACATTATTTAATGTGAAGAATTTATTCAACAAATTTGTTATGAATATTATTATTATTCATAATATTCAGGGTTAAGACTTTAAAATTTTTTATAGAAAACAAAATACGTTTTAGAAACCTGTTAATGTTTTCATGTTTTTGTATAATTTGACAAAGTCTTTTATCAAAATCAGTTGAAGAACCTTTGTTTTCTTGTTCCGTAACTAAACTGATGATATTTGAATGTAAAATTTGAAATTGTGCAACATAATGAAAGCCAATTTGAAAAAATAATCCATCTGTACCGCAATTGCTGATATTGCCTAAAAATGCAGCTAAATAATCAATCATGAATGTTATTTCAAAAGCGGGACATGAATTATAATCGTATGGTACATAAAGTTCCATTGTCAATAAACCAGTTGCATTTGGATGATGATTTCGAAAAAAAACATTTGCATTCACATAGCACATTTGCAAGAAACGAGTAATAGTTGCAATAAATATTATTAATACAAAATAATCCGATACTCTCCTGCTAAAGTGACCGTATTTCACCATAATTTCATATTCCTTCTTAGATGTTGTACTATTCCAATCTTGGATCATATAGAATAGAAGCTTTATCAGTTCTAATTAAAAATAAAATTATTTTTTTATTTCTATTTTTTACAATAGTTTTTCAATAAAATTATTATCAGAGAGATATTTAATAATTTTTTTACTTTGATTTTATATGAGTGATTCTCCAGAAAGAAGGCTTTTTACTTCCCTATTTAATAACTTTAAAATTTTAATTGAAATAATTGTGAAACTTTTTATGGTTATTTTTCAATCTTATATTTATCAATACAAAAAGCAAAAGGAACATTTTTTTGTTTTTTATTTCTTTAAAAAATTTCAAGTTACCTCGAAAAATGAACTTTTCGCAGATATCAAAAGCAGATATAAAAAAAAAATTATTAAAATTATAATACAAAAAAATAAAAGAATATTTAAAAAATTAAAAGTATAACTTTAGAAAATATTTTCAATTAAATTAGGGAAATATACTCAGGGTTGGACACTTCGCTTTTCTTAAAATAAGAACACTAGCGCCATCTATGCACGAACGTGGTGAAGCTTCTCGTAGTGAAACCTAACTTTTTGTGCCATTACATTTTTTGAGGATCAAAAGTAGCGTCTGCTTTGACGTCGATGCATTTGTAGGAACGAAAAAAGTTTTGTGAGCGATGTGATTAAACATAAAAAATGAATAAAGAAAACAAGTAATCTGCAAGGTAAGTTAATTGCATGTATTGTGGGGTTCATGATTTAAAAAAAAATGAAGTGAAAAATTGAATCGCGAAACATGTCTGGTTATGGTTAGCACAATTCGAAAATGTTACTTCTAATTAGGGTTGGACACTTTATATATTCAGGGTTGAATAAATAACAATTAGAAATTGTTTTCAGTAACATTATAAAAAATATTAATTGTCAATTATAAATAATAATAATGTATAAATGAAAAAATAAACATAAAAAACGTTTTCAGTAACGTTATAAATGTTATTTTATTTTTTTACCCATAATTCGCTTCGATTTTCACAAAGTTTCCAACCCTGACTATAATGTCCAACCCTGGCTAGATTTTTTTTTAAAATGATCAGAACTTTTTTAATTTTAGACTAATCAATTAACGATCTTCAGCAAAAGTGTTCCTTTTTTGTACATCTTTCTAACAATATAACTCAATTGACTAAATTAATTTAAAACAAAAATTCTAAACAAAGTCCAAAACGGTGTCCAACACTGAGTATATTCCCCTATGAATTAAATTATTAAAAAACAAATTTTTATAGATACGAAAAATAAAATAATATACTTTTTCTGTAGTACCACAGGCATGTCATTTTTGTAAAAGCCACTGCATAAAATAATAAACCAAATGCCAAAATATCACTCATAGCATCGACATCTCCCCAAATTATAATTAATTTAATTGATTGCAATACAACAATAATGATGAATAAATAGCCTGCCATTGCAGCATAATGGACAAATGCTAATAAATCACCTTTTTCTGAATCGGGCCAAACGCCCGAAATTTGAAGGCTAATTCGACTTAATTTCATAAAATATTTAATGGCTGTTATATAACAAAAGAAATAATTATTATAAGAAAATAAAATTTCCTTTAATGTAAGTAATTTTAGCATTTTATTGAAAACATTTTTTATTATTAAAAAAAATATATTTTTATAAAATAACACTAATAACAAAATAATAATTACCATAGTAACAAATAGTAATAATAAATTTTAATTGATTAAATGTTATTCAAAATTTCAATGAAAGTAATAATTTAAAATTTAATAAAATATTAATGGGTTATGAGGAACAAAATTTAAAAAAAAACAAATTTCGACATAATTTTTTGTACCTGTTTTGCCATCCATTATATTATATTGAGAATAAATGATTTGAAAAGTTATTGATAAACTGAGAAACATTTGTTTCAAAAGTTTCTAACTGTTGAACGAAATTACAAGAACGCATGCCCATATATAAATTTTTTATTAAAATACATTATGTAATAAATCGAAAGTCGCAGAATTTTCAAGTTTGCCTCTTGATGCCAATAAAAATTGCATTCATCATTTTACCTTCTTGAACAAAGTCTATCGTCATATTGTTAGAATAATAAATTGTAGAATTTTTATCATCAATATATTTGTTAATTTTAATAATTTGGGTAATGTAATTAAATTTTTTTTATTCGGATTTTTTTTATGATTATAAATTCTACTATTGTTTTATAAATTTTATTTATTTGAAATTATAAACGCATGGTAAATTTTTTATAAAGTATAATATATAGACTAAATTTGTATAAATAATTAATTAATATATATTTAAATTATTTAATTAATTTAATGAAATGAAATAATAATTAAAGTTAATATAAAAAAAAATCTAGATTGGTATATACAAATTTTTACCACAATTCTTATTGTATTTAATACAAAAATGATGATAATAATTAAAATTTAAATTCTTCTTGTTTATGATAATTTTTTTATTAATATTTTTTTTATTTTGTTTAATATTTACATTATTTTTGATTTCATTTCGTTGTTAATTTTTTTCACATTGTATTTATTTTTTATTTTTTCAATTTTAGTTTTTTTCGACGATATATAAATCTAAATAATACATGAAAAAAATGTAATAAAAGATTTCCAAAATCCTGAAGATTAAGTTTTGTCTGCGATTGAACAATGGACGTACAATTTTAGATTATTTATTTTATTGTTTTGTTATTTATTTCAATTATTTGTGTCTGTTCATCATTGTTAACAAAAGAGAAAGGTAGCCCATGGATGTTTTTAAAATCTGTAATTATTATTTACACTTTTTTTATATATCATAGAAAATGGAGTAATTTCGATCGTATGTGACGCGCCACGATTAATGGTATATCTAAGAGGTAAAAAATTTTAGGTTATGTTTGTGCGTTTTTGATTGAAAATACATAAAAAGTATTAACTATTAATATATCTTAATATCTGGTTTTCATTAGATCCAAAATATTCAATAAAAACTGATTTTGATTTTACATAACTAAAAATTAATTTTTAATCAAGCTAAAATTATCACTAAATATAACCTAAAAATTTTGGCCTCCAAAGTACCCGGAAAAACTCCGTTTAACAAGTTATATTAGAATTAATTTCATTTATTTGAATCAAAAAGTTTTCTTTTTCTCCTGATCTAGAAGCTTATTTTTGTAATTCTATACGTACACTGCCAAACTTTTGCATATTCATTGAAGCAATCTTAGCAGCTGTAAATTTGACGGGTTTTCTGGCACGCTGAATAATTAATAAAAAATTTCTCGACTTTTCTGGCATTAAATTAAACCATTTGCTATCATATGCAGATTCTCCGAGCATTAAACTCTGAAAATAAATAAATTCTAAATTAATTATTTTCAGCAGTGGAAATGTAAAAAAAAAATTATAATTATAGGTATTTGACTTGTTAGTAATTAATAATAAAATAAATATTCTCACCGAATTTTGAAGCTTTTCGGAAACATAACAATATATATAAGAATTTCCCAACATATAAGTAACATAACCCACCATGAAAAATAAATCCATAAGAATTAATTTTGAATTTTCTTGTGTCAAATTCTAAATTAAAAATGTATCAAATAAAATTTTATTAAAAATATATCTTTAATTAATTTTAGTAAGCGTTTAAAATAAAATTGAAATAATTTACACTTATAAATTGATAGCCTTGAAGACAGAATAAAAATGTATGTGATATCAATTGGACAAGTAGTAGAATGCAAAATGTATCCTCTAATAATCCAAGACATCTTTTATATACAGAAGAAATAATTTCTGTTTAAAAATATCTAATTTAAAAATTCAACAACAGTAGAAATTAAAAGAAGAAAAAAAATTTTCTTATTTAAAATAATTTAAAAAAAATTTACATTGTTTTTTTTATATCTTAAAAATAATAATAAAGCAATATTAGAAACCTATTAATATGTTCATGTTTTCGAACAATTTGAGATAATCTTCGATCAAAATTAACATATAATGTCAAGTGACTATTCGTCGTGGTGGCAATATTCGTGAGTTTTAAATGTAATATACGAAATTGTGCCAAATAGTGAAAACCAATTTGAAAAAATAATCCATCAACTCCACAATTGCATATGTTTGCCATAAAAGCAGCTAAATGATCAAAAAAATAAGTGAGTTCAAAAACTGGAAAATAATTATAATCAAATGGAAAATAAGCGTTCATAACAAATATTCGAGTAAGATTTCTATCGCTTCTAAACCAGGCGTCTCTGTTAATGTATGAAATTTGCATAAAACGTGTAACACTTGTTGCAAGTGCCACAAATATATATGTGTCCGATATTTTTTTACTAAAATTTGCATATTCTGTCATAATTTTGTAATCTTCTTTAGTTTCAACATTATCCCAATCAAGGATAATGGAATTAAGTATTGTTTTCATCTCTAAACAAAAATCAAAATTTAGTGTTATAATTAATATTATACCACAAAAAAAGTAATAAATAACAAATTAAAATATACATACTTTGTTTATAATACCATAATGAAATCATTTTTACCAAAGTGACAAACATTAGTAAAAGACCAATCAGTAAAATGTCACTCATTGCATCAATGTCACCCCAAACGATAATTAATTGAATGCTTTGCAATAAAATTACAGCGATAAATAAATAAGATGTCATGGCAAAAAAACGAAAAGTTGCCAATAATTCATTTTTATCCACAGGCCAAATTCCGGCAATTTGAAGTGTAATTCTATTTAACTTCATGAAATACTCAAGAGCTGTAAATAGTGTACAAAAAATATTTTAAAGGAACAAGATTTTTTAAATTTCTAAACATATAGTAGTCAAAATTTCTGAAGTGGATCACTAATTTTTCAATGACAAGATTTTGTCATGACAACGTGTTACTCCGAGGTCTAGGGAGTCTGTCAGAAAAATTGTAGTTCATATCGAAAACTATAAGTAATATTTTCAAGATTTTTGTGTTATTCGATTATTTTAGGTTTAGTTTCGATGCCACAATTAATTGTTTTAAATTTGGAAATGAAATTTTTTATAGCTTGCTATATTCTGCCGTACGAAATAAAAACTTATTTAACTCATATTTTCGTGAAAAAAATGGATTATTTAAAAAAATTATATTAAATAATTGAGTCAAGTGTTTTTTTACACAAGCAAAACTTAGTTAACTCGAGTTAAGGAGTGCTTTCCGAAAAGGTAGGCGAGTTCGAGCCGCCGCTCAGAAGTAAAAACTCATCTAACTCAAGCTGGCACCCGAGGCGGGGGAATACATTATAAAAAAATTGGTTCTGAGTTAAATTTTAATCTGATTGTGATTAATAAAGATTATTTTTATTGTTAAGATGGTAAATAGGTGTATCCTATTAAGTATTTCATTAACTTAATCGTACACAGTAAACATGGTTGTATCTTTTTCTATTGCAACGTTTTGATGCACATAAGTTATATCAAAAAGAGATCGTTTTGTGTATCATTTTTAGAAATGATACACGAAACGGTCTCATTTTTTGATGCAAAAAATTTAATCAATTTATATCAATCATGGCCGAATTGAATCGACTCAAAATTAAACGAATTTTTTTCAGATATTTTGGTAATAGTATAATTGCGGAGACCATTTCACTATTTAATTTGAAAATGAAAATAACAGAAAATCAAAGACAATGTGCAATTCGATAATTAAAAAGTGACAGCTTATAAACATAACCTAAAATGCATGAGAAAAAATTTGTCGATAAAATCAATATAGCCGAGCTTTTTAGAAGGTAGATGGCAGTTTTGCTTTTTATAAAAACGATTCAGAAAAAATTTAAAGAAAGAAAATAGATGAGTGCTGCCATCTACCTTCTAAAAAGCTCGGCTATATTGATTTTATCGACAAATTTTTTCTCATGCATTTTAGGTTATGTTTATAAGCTGTCACTTTTTAATTATCGAATTGCACATTGTCTTTGATTTTCTGTTATTTTCATTTTCAAATTAAATAGTGAAATGGTCTCCGCAATTGTACTATTACCAAAATATCTGAAAAAAAATTCGTTTAATTTTGAGTCGATTCAATTCGGCCATGATTGATATAAATTGATTAAATTTTTTGCATCAAAAAATGAGACCGTTTCGTGTATCATTTCTAAAAATGATACACAAAACGATCTCTTTTTGATATAACTTATGTGCATCAAAACGTTGCAAAGATTTGATGCAATTTTTGGTCTCAATTTGATACTTTTAGGAAAACTGTGTATCTGATGAGATAGAAATTTAATTGACCAACAGTCAAATTTTTATGTACGAAACTCGTACAAATATTTTTCATACATGGTTTCTGAAAAAAGTGGTCCGTTTCTCGCTGCTGGGGTATGATCTAATTTACACCTATTTACCATCTGAACTACTTTATTAAAATTCAAAAACAAAATTACCATCCTCACTAGATTATTTTTATTATTATTAATTTATTTATTATTTTATTATTCATTAATATTTTAAAAATTAGATTTAAATCAACATGTTTCAGTATAGAATTTATTACAATTAAAAATGTGTAAAAGAATTGCACGAGAAAAAACGGTGTTATTAGTAGAAAAACATTGATTATATTTGCTTATAATATTCAAATAACTTACAACAGCTGTTTATAATTACTACAACAGTCTTTATATAATAATTAATTAATTAAACATTTTAAAAGTAGCGAAACTTAAGCGCGTGAGATTCCGAATCAACCTGACGAGAATCCGAAGTTAAACGATGTTGAGTTGAGAAGTTTGCTTTCGAAACACAGGGTCTAGCTCATGCCATTTTTCGAAATAAAAACTCATTTAACTCGAGTTAAGGTTTTCGCTTCGGAACTATGCATGAAATTCGATTACGTTTTTGACAGCAAAAATACTCAACTCGAGTTGACTGAGTTTTTGTTTCTTATCTCATGTTCGAGCTACGATTTTCGGACTCCTTAACTCGAGTTAGCATACTTTTGCTTCCTCGTGGAGGAAGCTATGTAGTCCTTTCGTTTATAAAATTTTTAAAAATGGTGAAAACAAATTTTCCTCTATATAGAAACATGTTATATGAGATCCTGATCAATTGTCCGGATGTATGTATGTATGTGTGTGTGTGTGTGTGTGAATCGTTTTTGTGAACAAGATTTTTAAAAATAACCCAAAAAAAAAATTTTATCGTCTTTTTTCCAAAAATTTTTTTTTAAGGGGACTTTCTGGTTTAGAATTGACAAAAAAGGAAGGTTTTAAAACTTTTATCCTAAGAACAGTATTAAAGAAATTGTAAAAACTATTTTTGGACATTGTAGCACATTGCGTAGAGAAAATTTAAAAAATATGTTTGAGTGTATTTAGTTCAATTTCATAGCTGTAGGTGGCGTCTTCCAAAAGATACCTTTTTTTTGATACGTTAGTTTCCGGGCAACCTGTAATACATAAATTCAACTTCCAAACGGGAATCTCTTCATAAGGATTTATTCTGGGGCCTAAACCTCAAAAACGATTTTTTTTAAAGGTTTTTTTATTTTTTATGTACATTTTTCTCAAAAACTAACAAAAACGCCGTGTTTTTGGGTCAATTTACCTCCATATAAAAACACAGGGGGTAGAAATATGAGTTTTTAGAGGTTTAGGCCCCAGTTTTTTAAATAAAGAATCGAAAATTTTTTGGGATTTCAAAATCGGTTCGGTAGATTTCGAGAAAAGCTCTGTACCAGTTTAAAAAATGAGTTTTCGAGAAAAACGCGTTCAAAGTTTTTATAACATAGTTCATTGAGTCATGAATATCAAACAACTTTTTATTACAACAGAACTTCGTATCCCGCTGTTTTTAGGGTCGCTGATTACGAATTTGATGTCCGTTTTGGAAAATTCAAAATGGCGGATCCAACATGGCGGACGAAAAAATAAAAATTCAACCGGATTTGCTTAAAACTTGCTACTCGGGGGTTTTTGGGGTCGCTGATTATGAATTTGATGTCCGTTTTTGAAAATTCAAAATGGCGGATCCAATATGGCGGACGAAAAAATAAAAAATCAACCGAATTTGCTTAAAACTTGTTACTCGGGGGTTTTTGGGGTCGCTGATTACGAATTTGATGTCAGTTTTTGAAAATACAAAATGGCGGATCTAATATGGCGGACAAAAAAAATAAAAATTGAACCGAATTTGCTTAAAACTTGTTACTCGGGGGTTTTTGGGGTCGCTGATTACGAATTTGATGTTCCTAGAACGATAATGTTTTGTGCCTATATTCATAACTAGCAATCTCAAAAGGCCACAAGTAACCATTTTCAACTAAATTTAATTAATTTCTTAATCTTTGTCCGCCATATTAGATCCGCCATTTTGTATTTTCAAAAACTGACATCAAATTCGTAATCAGCGACCCCAAAAACCCCCGAGTAACAAGTTTAAAGCAAATCCGGTTGAATTTTTATTTTTTCGTCCGCCATATTGGATCCGCCATTTTGTATTTTCAAAAACTGACATCAAATTCGTAATCAGCGACCCCAAAAACCCTCAAGTAACATGTTTCAAGCTAATATCAATAAAAGAGGAACACCAAATATGTAAATAAGATAACTGTAGATTGTTGTTGAAATACATACCGTCATAAATATTGTTATAACTTTTGTTTTTGTACATATTTTTTTAAAAACGTTTTGGGACAGTAATTCTATGATACTATGGAACATTTTTAAGCAAAAAAAAAAAAATCGATTTTTTTGAAATTCTAAACCAGAAAGTCCCCTTAATTGAAAAAATTTTTAAATCGAAAAATTTAAGGTAATATATAATATAGTCGTCTTCTTTATGTCAAGATGAATCGATTGACATATATAAAGTATAGATTTGATTGAAATTTAAAGAATTAAAGAAAGTTAAAAACTCAAAAATTCTCATTTTAGCTAAAAAATGATGTGTTTATTTAAATTCATGTTTATATATGAAATAATTTTATTCCCTGCATTGAAACGAATTGGTTGGTATATATAAAGTATAGATTTGATTTAAAATTTGAGAATTAATAAAAATTGAAAAATTGAAAATTCATATTTTAGCTAAAAAATTTTGTGTTTTTTTAAAATTCAAGTTGATGAATAAAATAATTGTATTTCTTGCATTAAAACGAATCGATTCGTATATATAAAGTTTATGTTACACTCAAAATTAATTAAAATTTTCTTTATTTTTCAAAAAATTTAATTAATTTAAAACATTTTTAACTCGAAATTTTTTAAATCAATAAATTGAATTGGACAAATTCATTGCTTCCTTCACGAGGAAGCGAGTTTTTTGCTTCACACAATGAGGAAGCATAATGTTTATGAAATAAACATAAAGGACCCCCTCCTTGTTTATAACTATTTTTTTGCAATAAATATTTAAATAAAATTTTTTGCTTCCTCGCGGAGGAAGCTATGTAGTCCTTTCGTTTATAAAATTTTTAAAAATGGTGAAAACAAATTTTCCTCTATATAGAAACATGTTATATGAGATCCTGATCAATTGTCCGGATGTATGTATGTGTGTGTATGTGTGTGTATGAGGAAGCGAGTTTTTTGCTTTACACAATGAGGAAGCATAATGTTTATGAAATAAACATATAGGACCCCCTCCTTGTTTTAATAACACCATCAGATGCGTTTTTTTGTTACGAATCCATTGATACCAAAAACTCATTTTTCGCCAAAATATGAATTAACCAAGTTTTTACTTCGTACGGTAGTATTACCGACCGTACAAATAACCGAAAATAATATAAATTATTAGAAATTTAGTAAATAAACTCGTCAAAGTACAAAGACGTTAAGGACATCACTATCGATCATTGAAATTAGAAATCATCAAGGGAAGAGCTTCCTGGTTTAATTTTTATACGTCATATAAATAATTTTATAGTTTTCTTAAATTAAAGTAGGACCACTCATTCAGTATTTCGTTTTGTTCTGACTTTATTCAAATTTTGATTAAATTTTCTCGATTATCATCAATATTCGTGCGATTCGAAAAAATTATAAAATTTTTGACATGACTTTTTAAAATCTCATCATAAAAATGTAGTGGACCACTTCGTAATTTTTAGCCATAAATAAGAATTTTAATTTTAGATTTTTATTTAGAGGTTTTTTGATATATGTATTTTATTCTCGCGTGTAATTGAAAGAAGATAAATGAAAAAAATAAATGTAGAAATATTTTGGTGAAAACTAAAAAATAAATTTAAACACTATATTTATATTTAAAAAATTTTTTTTTTTTGAACTAAAATATAGGTATACACACCATCTTCTCCATGCATTTTTTAAGTGTCGAAGATAACAAAATAACGTGTTGGTTGAAACTAAGAAAAAAAAAAGATTGTTTTACAAAAGTTTCTCTACATTGACGCACATTGACCAGAACGCATGCTCATTTTCATATATAATACTTTATATGCAATATGTATAAAAATCGAAAGTTTCTGGAAACGTATAGTTTTGTTGCTTAATGTCATAAAAATTGCATCCATTCGGCTGAATTTTTATCCACCACTCAGTGACTACAGTTTTTATCGACAATCCTCTTTATTGAAATGCACTTGAATCTTGTTGAAGCGTATTTTTTATTTAACACTTCTGTTGCACGCCAAATTAATTTTGTGCAACCTTGGTGGGGAAAATTCAAGAAAATTTTAGTAAGTGGAAAAAAGGAGTGTCTAAATTTTTAAAAAATTTGATTGGTTTACAAATTCTATTGAAAATTTAAAGAAATAGACAAATGGAGATGGAAAATGGTTTGCAGATGGTTATGTTGAAAAATTTTTAAATATTAAAAACATCATTATTTATTTAATATATAAAATATACATGTAATTTTTATTGGTAATTTAAAAATTACAAATAGATATTCCTGAAAATTTTAAGTTAAAATTTTTACAATCTTTTTTTAGTAGGTATATAATAATTTTTACAAAAGTATATACTTATAACATACACTGTACAGATTAGTGATCAAAATGTTAAGTATGTTTTCATATGAATACTAACTTTTCCAGTTCTCTTTTATTTTTAGGCTTTCTTTAATGTAAGTAGCAGTGACAGATATCCCATTGACGTTTTTAAAATCTGTAATAAAAATAATTTGTAGTGCTAATTAATGTGACATTTCAAATATTTCAAATGTATACTTACGTTACCAAATTTTTCCATATTCATTACATAAAACCTAGCAGCAGTTAATTCCTTTGGTTTTCTACTCCGTAAGATAATAATAATAAGGTTCCTTGCCTTTTTAGGTGGCAAATGAAACCATTTGCATTCGTAAGCAGATTCACCAAGTCTTATACTCTGATGAGTATTAAAAAAAATGATATAAGTCCTATAATCATGTTGAAGTTTACAACGTTTATAATCAACGATTTTTAAAAAAGATATTTTTTTGAATAAAAGCTTTTATAAATTTTTGTGTCATAAATATTTTTTGTAATGCTTGTTAATCATCAACAATTGCAACTACAGGAGACGAATCTGCGTCAAAAAAAAATCTTCTAATTTCATAACTATTTTTTATTTTTTTCCTCTTAAAAAATAATTTGTTTTTTAATCGTTAATCCTAAACGTTGTAAATTTCAACATCAATGAATCATAAAATTTTGTTCTGGATTACTCATTTTAGAAAATGAGTAATGTAGAAAAAAAATATTTATGAATTATTTTGTATTTCATATCACTGTAAAAAAATATATAATTAATATACACATAGACAGTAACATTTAAGATGCTTGAAAATCATCTTAAATACCTAATTAAAAAAATTTTTAATTCTTACAGCATTTTTCAATTTTTCTGCTACATAACAATAGATTAACGAATTTCCCAACATGTAAAAAAGATAAGCAACCATAAAAATTGCATCAAAGAGAACAGTTCCTGAATTTTCATCTGTTAAATACTAATATACAACAAATTACTATTGATTATGTGAAATAAAATAAAACTAATTTTTTTAAGATAAGTTTAAGAAAAATTATTAAATATTTATTCGCATTCACAAATTTTTCATTTACACTTACAAGTATCAATTTATAACCCTGCATGCAGAATAGAACGCTATGAGCCATTAATTGAACCAGTAGCATTATCGAGAATATATCTTGAAGAAGTCCAAGACCTCTTTTAAGTAGAAATATTAACAAAATTATTATCATTATTATGCATAATTTTTATATGCATTATTAATAATATGTTAAAATCGTAAATTGAATAAAAAAGAATTGTTTTAATTTTGAAGAAAACCTGTTAATTTCCTCATGCTTTTCAATAATGTGACGTAATCTTGCATTGAAATCAATTTTTTCATTTTTAATTTCAGTAACAATATTCATAAGTTTCAAGTGTAAAATTTGAAATACAGCAGTAAAATGAAAACCAATTTGAAAAAATAAACTGTCAGTTCCACAATTGCTTAAGTTTCCAAAGAATGCCGCCATATAATCGACAAAAAATGTTATTTCAAAAATTGGACTTGGTTCAATATCATATGGAAAATATGCTTCCATTGATAAATAGTGCGTTGCATTTAATTGATTTTTAAACCAAAAATCTGCATTCATGTATGTTATTTGACAAATACGTGCTGCACTTGCACCCATGGCCATAACAATATAAATAATTGATATTTTCTTGCTAAAATAACCATGTCTTTTCAATATATCGAGTTCCTCTTTTGTTTTTGAATTGTTCCAGTCTTGAATGATACTCGATAGGATTTCTAATAATTCTGAGTAAAAAAAAAAAAAGTAAATTTAGTTTCATGAAAAATATTAAAAATGATAATAATAATAATTATTATTAAGAATTGAGTAATATTTAATATTAATTAATATCCTTTGGGGTATCTTTAGAGATCCTCAAGGGAGAGTTGACGCAAGTCGAGCTGAACTGTGATTGGTAGAGGGTAACCGTAATCGGAAGTTAATCCAAAATTTATTTGATTGGTTCGAAATGAGCGCGGTTGTTTAAAATGGTTTTTATTAAAGGCATTTTAAAAAATCCCGCTCATTTTGACCAATAGTATATCATATTTTTTCATCATTTTCGATTTCGATTACCCGCAAAAGTAGTGGAAGGCGAAACATGCGTCAACTCTCCCTTGAGGATTTCTAGGGTATCTCGTTCTTCATTTAGTACCCCCCAGATGGTGGATAGGAGTATTTCTCATTTATATAGGAGGTACCGAATTAATCCCGAGGCGAATCAAAAATCAGGCAGGTCCAGTTAATTCACAAAGAAACTTTTTTAATTGTAATTCTGGAAATTTTCAAAATAATCCAAAAAACAATTCTGATAATAATTATAATAACCAACGAAGCTATCAAAATAAACAAAACAATTATTAAGAAAATAAAAATAATCCTAACGGAAATGCAAATCGAAATTATTATCAAGGAAATAATCAAAATAAATATCAAGAAAATAATGAACAAGAAAATGAAAGGGTTAATAAACAAGAAAATTTTTAAATTAAGACGTTAAGGCAACGGAAGCACCGAAGATACAGATACCCAAGAAGTAGAAATCCAGGAAGTTCTAGATAAGGAACTTGAAAAGCTAGGATGCAGGAAGGTGACGGTTCTAGGACGCAACCGTCAAAGAATCAATCTCGTGTTTGTAGTAATCAATTCAGATGAAGAGGTCAGACTGAAGAATTTAAATCGTATACAGATTGGTTTTATATGCTGCCCAATTAGGAGACTTATGGTCATCAGATGTTATCGATGTTTCGGTTACGTTCATATACGATGAGACTGTGATGCAGACGACCAATCGGTTACGTGCATTAAATTTGGAAAAGCTGATAATAAGTTCGCAGATAGTAAGAAAATCTACAGCTGCTTTGCTAGTGTACAGTTAGACTGTTAAGTTAGAACCGACCACATCAAAAGTAAAGGAGCATATGAGTCATTAGGTCTGCCCTCGAGGAAGCCAAAAAGTCTCATCTCGCAAGAATAAAGAACAAATAGATCATAAATGTCACGTGAGCGAGATCCCAGGAACCATCACCTACGAAGTTTAAAGATTAACGGTAATTCCAAAGGATGAAGGATTGTCAAGCAAAGGATGTGGTTTTTAGTAGGTTGACCAGGTATCTGCCTTGGATATCAAGGTTTATGCCGATTTCCCACTTCCCTCGTAAAATTAAAAAAATAATACATGAATTAGTTAATAATAATATATTATTATAATGTTAAATACAGAACAATTAATTATGAATAAATAATAATAATTAATTATTAACCAATATTAAAAAATATTTCCTTTAGACATTTTTTTTTTTTATTGTTAATAAAAATGAGTAATTAATTAGAAAAGTACCTACGTTTCTTATAATACCAAAGGGCAATGATTTTCGTCAAACCACATACCACTAGCAATAATGCACAAGTGAGAATTTCACTCATTGCATCCACATCTCCCCATGTGATTATTAATTTAATTGTTTGCAGTAGAATAACACCAATGAATTGATATGCTGCCATTGAAAAAAAGTGAAACGTTGCTAATTGTTCATTTTTCTCTGGATCAGGCCAAACTCCCAAAATTTGAAGACTAATTCGACTTTCATAAATTTCAATTTCATAAAATAATTAAGAGCTACATGAAAATAAAATATCATAAATTAATTGATATTGAAAAAGAAATTTTTTTTTTTATAAAAATAAACATTATGAATCAAAATGACAAATGAGATAAATCGATGGAAAAAAAAATAAATATTAATGAAATAAAAAAATTACCCTCTTTACCATCCATATTATTATATATGTAGATGACTGAATGACAAATTGATGTAAACTGAGAGGCAATTGTTTTAAAAGTTTTTTTTTTTCTTCTTGGACTAGTATACAAATGTACGACGCATGCTTCATCTTCATTTGCAATTCATCTAATGCATTATTTATCAATATTCCTAAGTCGAAAGTTTCAGAATATCATATGATTTTATTATATGTATACATTCTTATGAAAAATGACTTTACGTTATTCTTTACCATCATGCGAAAAGAGAATTATTTTCTTGATTTACAGATGGATAGAAATAAATTCTGTGTGCATCTGATTCTTAAATTCATAAATATTTATTCAATACAAGAGTATGTATATTCCGTGAAATTAGGTTTTTTTTTAAATTTGCAATATTTGAAATTACATTTTCAAAATTTTTTTCTTAAAACATTAATACAATATTGCCTCCCGTAAGTATTATAATCGTTACTACCTCAACATCCACTAAATAATAAGTTTTTGAAAATCTAAACAATTTTTTTTTAATTCTTCTACCATACAATGTAATTATCAAGTGAATTAAAATTAATTAAAAGTGTGAATGTGAGATGAAGTATCAGGGGAAGTGAAAATGAAGTGAAAATGAAATGATGTTACTGAAAACCATTCCAGGTTACGGTTAACGCAATTCTTTACCAAATGAACTCTGATGGCTGAAAGTCAACGCTGTCAGCTCATTAACAGAATTAATTTTATTAAAATAAAATAAAATTTAAAGATTTTTTAAAATAATTTTTTTTTATCAATTTTATTAACTTAGTTAATTTTTATCAGTTTTTGACAAAATTGTAGAATTTTTACATCTAATACTGCATTCCACATAATGGTAAACAAAAAACAAAGAATATAACATTTCATTTATTAAAATACTAATTGTTACAAAACTATAAATATTTAATAAATTATATATTTTCTATATTTCTATATAATGAAGACTAAATTATTTTCCCCTATAAGGCTTTTTTCAATGTAAGTAGCAATGATAGATATCCCAGTGACGTCTTTAAAATCTGAAACATTCAATAATTAATTAATAATATTTAACATTTATTAACAATATATATATATATATATATATATATATATATCTACCTATATTACAAAAAGATATCGCCGCCAACGCCGCCGCCGCTGTTCCAAGACTCTGAATATAGCCGCAAGTCAAGAGAAGGGGGGGTAGAAGAAAAGGGAGGGGGGGACTTGAGGCTATATTCAGAGTCTTGAAACGATCTTAACCTTTAAATTTAGGGTTGGGGGAGGGGAAAAGGAGGGGGGATGGGAGTTGGCGCGCGAGGCCGCTGTTCCACGACTCTGAATATAGCCGCAAGTCAAGAGAAGGGGGGTAGAAGAGAAAGGGGGGACTTGCGGCTATATTCAGAGTCTTGAAACGGTCTTAACCTTTAAATTTAGGGTGGGGGAGGGGAAGAGAGGAGGGGGGATGGGGGTTGGCGCGCGAAGCGCGCAGGGGGCATAGCCCCCTAGTATATATATATATATATATATATATGCAATGGATTATAATTTATTAAAATCTAAATCAGTGAAAATTTTGTATAATTTGTATAAAATTCTTTAAATATTTGTTAAAATAATTTTGCATGTGTAAAGTTTGTCATATATAATTGTAGATAAAGTTAGCGTGTCGAAGCAATATTTACTTTTCGAATAAAAGAAAAGTTTACTTAGATTGAGTTTGTTTTAGGTATCAGAAAGTTATATTGTTAAGCCTTCATATGAACATACTTACGCTGCTAAACTTTTCCATATTCATTACATAAAACTTAGCGGCCGTTAATTCCATTGGTTTTCTACATCGTAAAATAATAATAATAAAATTTCTTGCATTTTGAGGTGACAAATGAAACCATTTACAACTGTAGGCTGATTCTCCAAGTTTTATACTCTGGTTAGTAAAAAAAAAATTTTTTTTCTTATTGACATCTGTTTTTTTTTCACATTATTCAACATATAATAATTATTTTATTCTGATAGAAATTTTTTTCTATTTTTTAAATATTATATTCTTTTGACTTAAAAGGTATTCGAAAATTAATTTTTTTTAAGATTTAACTTGCTGTATTATGTCTTTTGCAATTATATTAATTATTAATAAAGTATATTAATTTATCAACTATTTAAAACAATAATTTTCAAACTTCTTACAGCATTTTTTAATTCTTCTGAGACGTAGCAGTAAATAAACGAATTCAGCAACATGTACATTAGATAGGCGACCATAAAAATTGCATCAAATAGAACGGTTCCTGAATTTTCATCTGTTAAATACTAATTCACAATTATAGTTTAAAATATTGATAAAATAGAATCATATTAATCCTTTCAGTTATATATATTTTTCTATTTAACAAAGTTTACGTATTACTGTACCCTTGAGAGATTTTGAAAAACTAACATCGAATTCGTAATCAGCGATCCCGAAAACCCCTAAATAACGAGTTTCAAACGAATCCGATCAATTTTTAATCTTTTCAATCCGTCATATTGGATCAGCCATTTTGAATTTTGAAAAACCGGATTAATAATCAGCAACCCCGAAAACTCCCGAGTAACTAGTTTCAAGTCAATCCGATCAATTTGTAAATTTTAAAACTAGAAAAATATAACTGGGTCTGAGAGACCCTGCATGACGCAAAGGGTTAAGGAAATTTAAATTATAAAAGTAATCAAGTAATTGTAAATAGAAAATTAATTTAAATATCCCGCAAATGATAAAAAAAAATATTTTTACATTTCAAGATTTTTTCATAATTTTTTTTAAAAAATTTCACATGGATACTCACAAGAATTAGTTGATAACCCTGCATGCAAAAAAGGATGCTGTGAGCCATTAATTGAACCATTAGCATTTTTGAGAATATATCTTGAAGAAGTCCAAGACCTCTTTTAAGTAGAAATTAAACTAAAATTATTATCATTATTATGCACAATTTTTCTATTCACTATATATATATGCATAAGTGAATGTTAAAAAAACTTAGTAAATAATATATATATAATGAAAATTTGGCTAAAGCATCACCTATTAATATCCTCATGTTTTTCAATAATTTGACGCAATTTATCTTTAAAATCGACTTTTCCATTTTTTATCTCCGTGGCGATATTCATTAATTTTAAATGTAAAATTCGAAATACAGCAGTAAAATGAAATCCAATTTGAATGAATAAACTGTCAGTACCGCAATTGCTTAGATTTCCAAAGAATGCCGCCATATAATCGACAACAAATGTTATTTCAAAAATTGGACTTGGTTCAGTGTCGTATGGAAAATATGCTTCCATTGATAAATAATGAGTTGCATTTAAATGACGTTTAAACCAAAAATCTGCATTCATATATGTCAATTGACATGCACGTGTTATACTCGCGCTCATCGCCATAGAAATGTAGATAAAAGATATTTTTTTACTCAAATAACCATGACTTTTTAATATATCGAGTTCCTCTTGTGTCTTTGAATTGTTCCAGTCTTGAATAATAGTCGAAAGAACATCCAATAATTCTAAATGAAAATAAATGGTGTTTTAACAATTTTCCGGTAATTATAAATTGTAAAAAATTGGCATATGGTCAGGGGGGAGGCGCATAATTATTCAATAAAAATTATTAGTTAGGATTTTCATTTTCAACAATTTGTCAGAATTTCTTTTTTTAAAGAATTTTTAATTAACAGAATTTTTTGGCACCGAATTTTTATTTGCTAGAATATTCTTAAAACGCCGAATTTTTATTTATCCGAAATTGCAAATGGCCGAACAAACAATCAACAGAAAGATTTCGGCGCGATTTTTAATATCCACCAATCACAATTTTCTTGATAACTTTTGATTGGTGAATTTTAAACATCGCGCCGAAATCTTTCAGTCGATTGTTTGTTCGGCCATTTGTAATTTCGGACAAATAAAAATTCGGCGTTTTAAGAATCCAATAAAATTTTTTAATATGTATGAATGTGTACGAATGTGACGAGAAAAATTTTTGATATTTATATTACATAATTTTTCCTAAGGGTCAATTACGTAACTTTTTCTGGATCCCACATCCCGTATTCCACTTTCCAGATCCCAAATTCCGGATCCCACTTTCAAAATTCCGTATTCCCGGAATATAGTATCCGGAATACGGAATTTTGAAAGTGGAATCCGGAATGTGAAAAGTGGGATCCGGAATGTGGAAACCGGAATACGTAATGTGAAAAGTGGAATCCGGAAAAAACTACGTATTTGACCCCCTGTAACTATGATTTTATTGTGACATTTTGATTAATTTTCTGATAGTTAAAAATAAAATAAAATAGTAGTATGATTTGAAATTTCCATTTGATGATATTAATTTATTTCTTGTTTTATTTTTACTTTCTATTTTTATTACAACTAATGATTTATATTTTTGAATTTTTATAAAATGTATCATTTGTAAATATTTTATTGATTTCTATTAATTCATTTTTGTTCTTTTTTGACATTACAATATATTTATTTCTAACACAGGAAATAATAAAAATCTATTTAATAATTCTCGAATATCTCCTGCTATACATAACTTTTAATGAAAATAATTTATTAATAATAATATACAATATCTGAATACCCACTTTTTCTATAATACCAAAGAGCAATTATTTTTGCCAAACCACATAAAACAAGTAATAATGCACATGTGAGAATTTCACTCATTGTATCCACATCTCCCCATATAATAATTAATTTAATAGTTTGCACTAGAATAACACCGATGAATTGATATGCTGCCATTAAATAAAAGTGAAACATTGCTAATTGTTCTGAATGAAAAGTTGATGCAAACTGATGGACAGTTGTTTTAAAAGTTTTTTTTTTTTTGTTGCTCTTGGACTATAATATATATCTCAACGCATGCTCTTCTTTTTTTGCTATTCATCTAATGCATTATTTATTCATATTAATCGAAAGTTTTATAATCCCATATGCTTCTTTATTATACATATATGTACTATGTATTGTAAATTGACTTTATGTTATTCAGTTCCATTATACGGGAATAGTGAATTATTTTCTTAATTCATATAGCGTATAATAAATTCTGTGCGCATTTATTTCTTAGTTTGTTCGCAATATTTATTCTCAGAAGAAAAAAAATTCTGTAGGAAAACAGTCCTTAAATTCTCATAATAATTATTTTTACGGTCATATGAGGACTTTTCTATTTACAATTAAATTAAACGTCAATTACTTGTAAGTTTCCGTGTGCCTTAGTAAAAAAAGGACATTTGGATTAAATCAACAAAAGTTGAAATTATTTTTTAAATTAATAAGCAAATACTAAAGAGAAATAGGATATTATAATGATAATATGAAAAAAAGTACATAGATTAGTGAGTTTAATAATTAAATTAAATTTTCAACATCAATGAAAAAAATTAGTAAATAATAATAAAATAAATAAAAAAAAATATTAAAATAATATTTTAAAGTAACTTAATATTTCATTTTTTAATGTCATTGCGACATAAAATCTTTGACATTTAATATATCGAAAACAAAAAAAATCTGCATTCTGAAAATTTGTATACAGATCGAAAAAAAATCTCAGCTTTCATTTGCAACTATTTATTTTGGAATAAATGTATCGATTTTGGTGAAAATAGACAATCTATTTTTAATTATAGAAAATCAAGGTCAAAATTCAAAAATTTAAAAAAATAATTCACCATTAAAAAGAGCATTAAAAAATTTTCAAAAAACATTTATATGACAAATTTTTTTTATTTCATGTATAGACAGCAAAAATTCAAATAACAGGCGATGTCAACGAAAGCTGATAAAATTGCCCTCCTTCCTCTATTTTCCCCAAAATTTAAAAAAAGTCAAAAAATTTTTTTGTGATATTTTATCGTCAGGTAGAACAACAATTTCCCCACGTTTCGTTTTTTTTCGAGAAATTAATTTTTCAACTTAGAACATTATAAATGTGAAATACCTCACATATATAAAGGTGTACAAAAAATATAAACAAGTGAAATAAATAAGTTAAATTAAATTAAAAGTTAAAATTAATATTACAATATCGAAAAAATGTTATTTGTGTCAATAAGTATATGGAGAGGTATGCAAGTTAATGACTCTAATGTTTAAAGATACATACTAGTAATTTGTACGATATAGGTATTTTTTATAAAGGAAATAATTTTAAAAAACAATTTCAAAGTTAGTATAAATTTATTATTTTTATAAAACTATACGCATATTCTATTTTCAATGGAAATTTAATTAATTTCTATATATATATTCTAGTATTCAAAATGCTATCCATTTCCATGTGACTTTTTCATTGTTAACAATAATGATAAGTATCCCATGGAAGTTTTCAAAATCTGAAAATATTAATTCATACATATAATATAACTATCATAAAACAATGATAATAATAATAATAATAATAATCCAGCGGATAGATGTCCACTACATGGAAAAAAATAGTTCGTGAAACTTTCGTAAACTATTTGTTCACTTTTGGACGGGCCCAAAGTTTGAAAAATCTTTCATTAACTTTTTTCAAGATTCAACAAACTTGTTTTTGTGCGCGTGCGCAGACATTGATTGTCATGAAGAGAGTGATGAACGTTCGTGAAATCTTGGAATAAGTTAATGAAAGATTTCCAAACTTTGGGACCGTTCAAAAGTGAAAAACTACTTTACGAAAGTTTCGCGAACTATTTTTTTCCGTGTACCGAAAGTATTGTATATTTTTGATAGAATTTGTTATCGTGGCTGGGCTTTTCGCTAAAAGACATAAAACAGTAAGATGTAAGGAAAGGGGATTAAAAAATGATTAGAAAAGATTAAGAAAGGACGTTTACGGTGCAGGGGAGAGATACCCCAATGCAGGCACTTCTGGGAGTAAGCAAGTTGGCTCCCTAGCGTCGGAATCTAATGAAAACAGTGCTATAGTATTGAACTCCTTGAGTACTGCAACATTTGATGCTACAATGAGGACATACCACGGTGGCGCTCAATTTTTTCCAGTGCCACGAGTAATCGTGGAGAAGATGGATCCGCAGATTATCGTGGAAGGAGTGAGTGGTTAGCAGCATCATAAGTACTGCTAGCATATGATACCTTCGAAAATAGATGCGGAGGCAATCGACAAGGACCGCGAAAAATGCGATAAGTTCATAGAAGAGGAAGCAGAGTTGTTGGTAAAGATTGAGTCCAGAAAATGCTGAAGTCTTGCAACATTCATAAAATCGTCAACTGAACAATTAAGGACGGGTTGAAAACTCTTCAGGTCATTGTAGACGAGGTAAGAAAGAAGCACAAAGAGGCGCACAGCGGTAACGATCTCTTTAAGTACGCTCTTGGTTTCGGAGATGAAAATTGGAGAATCAGAATTGCGAGAAAGGATAATATCCAATCTTGCGCTCTAAGACACGCTATACATGAAGCCAAGAAAAGGGAAAGAAGCCCTTGTAGTCCAGAGGTGGAAACAGATCAAAAAAAGAATGAGGAAGCATCTCCAGAGTATAGGGACGTAAGCAAAACGGAGACTCCGAAGGCGCAGAATCTTGTTCAAGAAAAGTAAGTGACAAGTGGTTCTACGATGGTCGTCCTAGTCGGTCAAAGATGGTTGTATGCTGGCGTTTTAGGCAAGCTTCGTAAAAAAAGGTGAATCCGGATGATGGCTGCTAGAGCTATAAAAATAGGAGACCTTCTGATCAAAATTGGAGACGGCTTTAATAAGGAGGTCTTTACCGTTGAAGTTGCCAAAACGGTGAAAGACATGCATAAGGTTCAGACGGTGGATTAAAGGGTGACACTGGAGATCCGCGACTTGGATTGCCTTACCGAGGAAGCAGATATTTAGAAAGTCCTGGAAAAAGTACCCAATAAGCTAAGTGATAGTTCTAGGACCTAACCAGCGAGGGATGAAGCTCGCAGTTGTGGTTATGGACCCAGAAGAGGCGGACAGGCTGAAGGAATTGAGACGTATAAAAAATTGGTTTTATATGTTGCCTATTTTAGAAAAGAGTTATGATTTGTCACCGATTGCGCCAATATAGGTAGTGACTGCAAATTGGGAGGACAAATCGGTTGCGCGCTTTAACTCTCTGCTTGTGCTAGTGTTCGTTATCGTCAAAAAGCGTAAATTTGGACGCTTGGTGAAGATTAAGGGAAAAGTGGTGCTAGAGTAAGGATAATTTAGCATAAGCAGAGAGTTAAGTGCTGAGAAGCCGATCATAAGTTCGCAGACTGTAAGAAGAGTACAATTTGCCTCCTATGCTGAGACAAGATCAACGGGAAGGTTAGTACCAACCACCTTGCTAGTAGTGGAAAATGTGGAGTCTTTATGTCAACCCTTGAGGAGGCTAAAAAGTCTCTCACAAGGATCAAGAAAAGATCGTCAGTTTCGTAATGTAAGGATTAGTCCAGCCTAAGTATGTGGTTTTTAGTAGGTCGACCAGAACAAGAACTGTTTCCAGGTATCTGCTTTGGATACCAAAGGTTATGTAGATTTTCCACTTTCCTCGTAAAAAAAAATAATATTTCCAGTATTTATTTAATAATTTGCTATTTTCCTATAGAAATAAAAGTAAATTAATTACGCTTCCAAATTTTTGCATGTTCATCTCATAGATTTTAGCGGCTGTAAATTTAACAGGTCTTCGACAACGTTGAATAATAAATAAAAGATTTCTCGCCATTTTTGGTGATAAAGAAAACCATTCGCATTTATAGGCGGATAATCCTATAGTAAGACTCTGAAAAATAATGTAATTATCCTTTTTTTGGTTGGATTTATTTACTGAATTACATACACTGCAAAAACAGATATCTTATTTTAAGACACTTTTGTCCCGATTTTTAAGACATTTTATAGTGTCTTAGATTTCGACCAATGATGAAACGTCTTAGATATTTTCTTAACCAATGGATCAAGTCGAAATAATTTTAAGACATTTCCTAAGTGTCTTATGTCTTGAAATAAGACATCTGTTTTTGCAGTGTATGTATATTTAAATAATAATTCGATGATGAAGTTCATAATCGATATGATTAACGATTTTTAAAGTAATATGTTTCTTTAAATAAAATTTTTTATATTTCATTAATTTTAATTAATTAAAAATACTGTGTTTTCTAATCGTTGATCATATAAACGTTGTAGACTTTAGCGTTGTATAATAATTTATAAAATTTCAATAATATTAACGAAATTTAAAAAAAAATTTACCTCCTCTTGAAGAATTTCAGAAACGTAACAATAAATATATGAGTTTCCTAACATATAAATAAGGTAAATAATCATAAATATTGAATCCAATAGAACCGATTTGGAATCATTATCTGTTAGATACTAAAATAAATAAATTATAAATTAGTCAATAATAATAATTGTCAAGTGACAAGTCATACTAATTTTAATTTTTATAGAAAAGTATACATTTTTAATAGTTTTTTTTTGGTTTTGTTTTTTTTAGTTAGATTCAATTTTTTAATAAAAGGTTGAAAATCTAACTTACTAAAATTAGTTGATAACCTTGGACGCAAAAGAGGATACTGTGCGACAATAATTGCACAAGCAACATGAAACAGAATGTATCTTCAAGCATTCCCAGACATCTTTTAGTATATTTACAATATATAAATAACAGGATAATAATTATGTTAAGGAAATGTCATAAAAAATGTCCTAATTAAGAATACCAAAAATTTCTTTTTGGTAGGGGAATAGTGTCAGGGTTGGACACTTGGCTTTTTTTAAATAAGAACACTAGCGCCACCTGTGTGCGTACGTGACGAATCTTCTAGTAGTGTAACCTAACTTTTTGTGGCATTACATTTTTGGAGAATCAAAAGTAGCGTCTCCTGTGACTTCGATGCAATCGAAGAGACAAAAAAAGTTTTGTTTGACTTGTGAATAAACCTAAAAAATGTGTAAAAAAAAAGCAAGAATTCGGCAAGGTAAGCTTATTGAATGTATTGTGGGGTACATAATTTAAGAAGAAAAAAAGTGAAAAATCGAATCGCGACACATGTCTGGTTATGGTTAGCACAATTCCAAATGATGCTTCTAGTTAGGGTTGGACACCCATATTAATTATGAATTTGACACAATTTATAAATAAATATACAAATAAATTTTACTTTATTGATATTTCAGTGCAAAATTGTGCCAAAGATATTAGAAAAATAATACTTAAATTGTATAAATTTTGTTCATCATTTCATTGAGTTATTTGGAACAATAAAGCGTTATTTTTTGTAATTTGAGTTCATTCCTTTTTTAAACCCATGAAGCTTTACAATTTGTAAACAATAAGTAAAGATAAACATGAAAAAATAAGAATAAAAAACATTACAAATGTTATTTTACGTTTTTACCAATAATGCGTTTCGATTTTCAAAAAGTGTCCAACCCTGACTGAAAAGTCCAACCCTGACTAGATTTTTTTTTTTAAATGTTTATAACTTTTTTAATTTTGGACCAATCAATTTACGGTCCACAGCAAAAGTGTTCCTCTTTTGTAGATCTTTCCACCCATATACCACAATTGACTGAATTTATCTAAACAAAATATTTATAAACAAAAAACCAAAACTGTGTCCAACCCTGACACTATTCCCCTATTTAAAATTTTTTAAATATTTTTTTTATATTTATGAACCAAATTTAAAAAAAATTAGAAAAACCTCAAAACCTGTTAATATGTTCGTGCTTTTGAACGATGTAACATAGTCTTTTTTTAAAATTAACTTTAAAATGTTTACTGCTTCCATCGATGGCGATATTAATAATATTTAAATGCAAAATTCGAAATTGAGCGGCATAATGAAAACCAATTTGTGAAAAGAGACTATCTGTACCAGCGTTGCATAGATTTCCTAAAAGTGCTGCTGTATAATCCAACATATATGTAATTTCAAAAACAGGACTGTAATTCCAATCAAATGGAAAGTAGGCGGCAACCGTTAATATTCGAGTTGCATTTGAATAATTTGTGAACCAAACATCAGCATTGATATATGAAATTTGAAAAAAACGTGCAACACTTGTTGTAAATGCCATTAAAATATAAATTTGCGATATTTTCTTGCTAAATTGATTATATTCGAGCATTATATTCTGTTCTTCATGTGATTTTGCATTGTTCCAATCCTGAATAATAAAGGCAAGAAGTTTTATCATTCCTAATGGGAAAAAAAACAACAACTTTTGTTTACTTAATATATTATATTTAAAATATTTATTGCAATAATTGCAAATATAATGACAAAAGTTAAAATTTTATAAAAATAGAGTCTTAATTCTAATTTTCTTGAAATGTTTTCTGACTAAATTTAAATTTTACCATTGAAATAAAAAATTCAGAAAGGTTCTTTCTGACTAAAACAGTTTCTTACAACTATTACTAAAATTACTAAAATTTGAAAATATATCTGTACTTTTCTAAAAATGACCCTTATTACTGATAATAATTTTAAAATATTTTGTCTGACGCAAATTCTCGATTTTTACTGATAATAAAATATTACAAAAATTTATTGACTTAAATTGATTGTAAGTACTGATAAAAAAATAATAGAAAGTCAAAAACATTTAGTCTCACTAAATCCACGTTTTATTACTTTTTTTAAATGTAAACAGTTTGGTAATTTTCTATATCTGACTAAAACATTTCTTTTTTACTATAATAAACGAAAGTTTCAAAAATGTTGAAAGTTTATGTCTAACTTAAATTAATTTTTATTTTTAATAATAATAATAATTATTATATACAAAATTTTATTATTAATTATATTAGTTTCTTTTATTTATATATATGGTCCATTCTCTGCAAACTGACACCCCCCTATTGTCCAAAATTGGTTTGATATTCAAAAATCATTGAATACATGAAATTGTAGCTTAAGGTGTCTAGTTTCATTTGTCGTATAGCATTTTAGAAAATATAAATATGGACGACCAATATGGCACCTGGATTACAAAAATGCAAAAAAAAATATAATTGTTGTTGAATTTTCAAAAATTAATTGAATTATTCAGACAATTCATATTAAGGGCTTCTAGGGGTCGCTGATTACAAATCTGACGAATCTGAAGTTAATTTTCCAAAAATTCAAAATGGCTGATTCAAAATGTCGGATGATTTTCTAAAACTTTATCAGATTTGCCTAAAACTTTTTACTCGGGGGTTTTTGGGGTCGCTGATTACGAATTTTTAGTTTATTTTTGAAAATTCAAAATGTCGGTTCCAATATGGCTCCCAAAAATATGAAAATTTGATCAGATTTGCCTAAAACTTTTTACTCGGAAGTTTTTATGATTATTGATTAAGAATTTGAAATTATTTTTTAAAATTTCAAAATGGCAAATACTATATAGCAACAATTATTTTTAAATAATGTAAGTTTTGTTATTAATTTTATTATCTCGGTGTTTTTAGATATTTCATTTTAAAATTTCAGTCAAATCTGATCAAATTTTCATATTTTTGGGAACCATATTGGATCCGCTATTTTGAATTGTCAAAAATAAACTTAAAATTCGTAATCAGCGACTCCAAAAACCCCCGAGTAAAAAGTTTCAGTCAAATCTGATCAAATTTTTGAAAATCGTTCGCCAATTTGTAACCGCCATTTTGAATTTTTGGAAAATTAACTTTAGATTCGTCAAATTTGTAATCAGTGACCCCCAGAAGCCCTTAATATGGATTGTCTGAATAATTTAACTAATTTTTGAAGCTACAATAACAACAATTATATATATATTTTTTTTTTGGACCAATTTTGGACACTAGGGAGTGTCCGTTTGGCAGAGAATGGCAAAAAAAAAATGTTTTTCAATATACATACTTTTTCTATAGCACCAGAGGCATGTCATTTTTGCCATGGCAACTAATATTAATAGTAATGCACAAGCTAAAATTTCAGACATTGCATCTAAATCACCCCAAATGATAATTAATTGTATTGTTTGTGCTAAAATTACAAATGAAAATAAATACACTGCCATTGCGAAAAAATGAAAAGTTGCTAAATATTTATTTTTATCAGGATCGGGCCATACTCCAAGTAATTGAAGAGTCATTCGACTGAATTTCATAAAATAATTCAGAGCTGAATCAAAAATTAAAAAATAACAATAATTAAATTAAAAATTAAGAATATTTCATATGATATAAATTCACGATTTTGTCAATTTGAAAAATTTTTAAATTAAATATATTTAAATTATTTTAATTTAATTTTATATTATTGTTTTTTTATATTGTTTATTATTATTATAAAATTTAAAATCAATAAAAAAATGTTAGAAATGTACATTTTTTTATATTGGTTCTAGATTTAAGTTTATATTTATAAATGTAGGTGTATTTTAGTTTAAAATATTTCTGAACATTTAAAAGTGTAAATTATTATATGTAGAGAATAATAGATTTATTTTAGATTTAAATATTTCAAAAAAATATAATAGATTTTGAAACTATATACTGAAAACAAAATTTACTTGATTCAAATAATTGGTAGTTACTTAATTATTATCAAATAAATATTTAATTGAACCAAATAATTTTTATTTGCATTAAATAAACTGTATTTGAATCAATAATTTCTATTTTTAAAATAAATATAATTTAATTGATTCAAAAAAAAAATTATTTGGTTCAAGTAAATATTTATTTGATAATAATTAAGTAACTATCGATTATTTGAATCAAATAAATTTTTTTTTCAGTGTACAAAAAGAATACAATTTTTGTTTAGTACAATATAAGAAAGAACGCATAGAAGAATGTTTTTTTAAATAAATTTTTTTTTTTTTTAGGCAATTGAAAATAAGTTTTTAAAAATTAATAAGCACATACACTCTTTGCCATCCATTATATGCATAAATAATTATTATAGAAGATGATGGAAAGACGATTTCACGCAAACTGAGAGAGAATAGTTTAAAAAGTTTCTCGCACTTGGCTGAATTGCGCATGTACAAGTGCATATAAATTTTTTTTCCTGCATATTATATATGCTTAAGTAGAATGTCTTGCCGTCTCATTGTAACTTGTTCTTGATAATTACATTTGTTCCAACAAATTGATATTTTTAAAGTCAAGTGAACAGAATTAAAGTTGATATACAAGTAAAAAAAATTTTTTTTTAAATATTGTATTAGCAATGATTTATTTAATATTATTTTTACATTTACATTTTATTATATAATATCTGAACTTTTATGTAGTTTTTTTTATAAATAATATGCAAAATTTATTATTTATTCATTATATAGTGAAATTTTTTAGTGTAAAATGCAGAATAATGTCTTGGTATGTATTTATATATACTTATTGTAATTAAAAATATATAAAAATAATTTTTTTATACAAAGGGAGTTTTTCTATTTTTTTGTTTGTTTTTTTTCACTTTTTTATTTAATTATTCACGAATTTTCCACTTGATGTTGATTCCATTATGTATTTTGAGATAGTTTATGAATAAAATTCTTAAGTTCGCTTATTCATTGTTATTAGTACTGACAAATATCCAAGGGATGTTCTGAGAATCTAAAATAAAATTAATTTTATCAATATTATAATAATTATTATTATTCAAATATTATTATTAGATAGATAACAAAATGTATTTCCTACTAAAATTGATAAAATTTATTTAATGTTTCATTTTTCAAAATGGGAAAATAATTTTTCAATTTTTTATAGAAAGTGAATATTGGAATATATCTAAAAAAAATTGCTTCTGTGCATAAAATATATTCCTTATTTTTATGAATTAAAAGTTCAATAAAGAAATAATTCGATTATTACAAAAAAAAATTTTTTTCTAACATATTTACCCTTCCAAATAGTGCCAAGTTAAGAACACAAAATTTTCCCGCAGTTATTGCAACTGGTTTTCTTCCTCGTTGCATAATAAATAGTAGAAATTTAACTTTTTTAGGAGGTAATTTATACCACTGACAGTTATAGGCAGATTGGGCAAATTTCAAACTCTGAAAAATATATATATTTACTCTTTAAATATAAGGAAATCACTTTGTGATTTAGTAAACAATAATTTTTAAAATTAAAATTTTTGTATTACAAATTTTAAAAATAAATTTTAATAATTTAAAATTAATAATTAATTAATGAATATAATTAATTAAATTAATAATTATTAATAATAAATATTAATATTAAAATATTGTTTTGATTTTAGAAAAAAAAAATTTTTTTTAATACGTGACTATACTCTCTAAATTTGAATTAGTAAAATTTTTTACAAATTTAAATTAGTGACTCACTTTTTGCTTTAGAATTAGTTAAATTTTACTAATTGTTATTAAAAGTTACAAATAATTAGTAAAATTTAACTAATTCAGAAGCAAAAAGTGAGTCACTAATTTAAATTAGTAAATATTTTTACTAATTCAGATTTAGAGAGTATATAAATAGTCAACAATTTTACACCTCACTTTGTAGCATTTCTGCCAAGTAGCAATATATATAAAAATTTCCAATTTGATAAATGAGATACGTTACAATAAATGAGACATCAAATAAAACTGATTTTGTACTTTCTCTTGTTGTATACTGCAAAAAAAAAGAAATACAGAAAAAGATTATGACAATTTAAAGAAAATAATTTTTTATAATTTTTCTTTATTTCCTCGGCTCTTAGTAAACTGTAAATGTGATATAAATTATTATAATATAATAATAGAAACTACAATTTATTTACCAAAATAAGAACATATCCTTGAACACAAAATTGAAGACTACAAGCCAATAATTGTACGACGAACATGAAATTAAATGTACTTTCTAGAATTTGGATGCATCTGTTATTAAAAAAAATTATTCTTGATATTATAGACTTTGAATCTAATTTACATAAAGGTAAAATATTATAAAGAATTAAATATTATAAGATGTTTTTTTTTTTTAATTTTCGACTTTGTTTAATTATTTGAAATTGATTGAAAAAAGTTTTTAAAAAAATTAAAAAGATTTCGTAAATGTTTTGTTTGATTTCAACACTGTATTTTACTACTGATATACGAAAGTTAAAAGAATTAAGCAATCATTTGTCTGACTAAAACTCATATTCACTACTGACGCTTGTATTACAAGAATGGTTTACGTCTGACTTAAACTGATTATTTCTACTGATATTACAGAAATTTTAAAACATATAACACTAATTTTTAACCCTTTCACACTCAACAAAAACTGAACAGTGATAAAAAAACTGCATTTTTTTCTTACAGTTTTTAGAGTCACTGATTACGAATCTAAGGTCGGGTTTTCAACATTTAAAATGGCGGATCCAATATGGCGGTCGAAAAATTTTGAAAATCGTTTGGATTTATTTAAAATTTGATTCCCGGGGGTTTTCAGGATCGCCGATTACGAATTCGATGTTAGTTTTTCAAAATGGAAAATGTAAAGCTACATTAAAATTTAGATTCGGATAATAATGGGATCTATATTATTTATTACACGGACGGAGAATTTTGAGCGTGACAACGTCTTTTTTAATTAATTAAAAGTAATTTTATAAGATTTTTATTTAGTATTTATTTTTTACTTAAACATAAAATTAGAATAACCAAATATATTTGTATTTGAAATAAAAGTTTAATTTTCAAAACGAAATGTAAAATTAAATTTTAAATCTAAAATTAGTTACATAATAAGATATTTACGATTATCCAATTATTAATACGATTATCGAATAACGACACAAAAACAAAATTAAATCCTTAACCGGTCGGTAATGTAGAAAGCTTTAAAAAATTTTATTTCCAAATTTGAAAAAATTAATTGTGGCATCGAGACTAAATCTAAAGTAATCGAATAACACGAAAATTTTGAAAATATGACTTATATAGTTTTCGAGAAATCGTTTTCGATATGAACGCCAATTTTTCTAACTGACACCCTAGACCTCAAACTAAGACGTTCTTACGTCAAAATATTATATATAATACATAATAAAAAAGTTTTAAAAAAAACCTGTTGATGTGTTCGTGATTTTGAATGATGCCATTGAGTTGATTATCAAATTCAATCCAAGATTTAATATTTTCTGTTTTATTAACAAGATCTAAAAGCCTTAGACGTAAAATATGATATTGTCCAGATAGATGATAGGCAATTTGACTAAAAAAACCATCAGTTCCTGTATATGCAACTGTTGCCAAAAATGTACCAACATATTGAATAAAACAAGTTATTTCAAAAACTGGACTATAATTCCAATCATATGGAAAATAGGCTTCAATATATAATGTAAAATTTGCGTCAACATCATTTCTCCTCCATATGTCAAAATTGAGAAATAAAATTTGTGGAATACGCGCATGAACAGTTAAAAGACCCATAAAAATGCATAGAAATGATATTTTTCTTCCTGATTTTCCAGCTTTCAACATGATATTTAAATGTTGACAATTAATTGTCTTATTCCAATTATTAATGAAGGATAATAGAAGATTTGACATTTCTGTTTAAATAAGATGCACAGAAAATTAAAAGGCATTAAAATAAGCTGCAACGCTTATTATTTTAATCCAATTTTGCTTATTTTAATACCAAAATGAATTAAAATAAGCAAAATTGGATTAAAATAATAAGAGTTGCAGCTTATTTTAATGCCTTTTAATTTTTTGTGTGAGAAAATATTTAAAAAAAATATTTTTCCTTTTTTTCTAATTTTAGAATATTTGCAATTTTTATATTACATGTATATTAGGGTGGTCCTTAAAAAACAAATTTTCGAATTTTAAAGTTCGTAACCCCTCATTTTGTTAAGCATGGAAAAATAAGAGACACGTATTTTTTTTTTTTTTTTTTAATTAATATTTAATGGTGCCTCATCGCACTTGAATTTTTACATGCATTTTGCATGGGGAAAAAACGTTTTTTCGTAGATTTGCTATGAAATGATGAAAAATGAATATTTTTTTATCGGACCACTTTGTTTTTCTTCATTTATGTTCAAAGAATAAGATCCAATAATTTATTTATGAATTTTTAATAACAAATATTTTTTAAACAGCCCCTAAAAACCCTCAAAAAATGCAAAATCAGGGAAAAATCGTTAAAAAATGTTTATTAATATTTTTTATAGTCTTTTTTGCAAGATTTTTTATTTACAAATTGAACAAATACTATTAATCGTATTTTTCAATAATTTGCAATTTGTTTAAACAATATATTGTTGTTACTGTAAAATTGTTGTTAAAAATATCTGGAAAATGATGTTTTTTTTAATTTTATAACTTTTATTTACATGAACTGCAATAAATAACAGTTTATTTAAAAAAATGTCAACAAAAATTGTTTAAACAAATTATTTTTGTTATTTTAAAACTAGTGTTTAAATGTATCTACAAAGTTGCTCTTCCCCCTTAATTTTGCAAGTAGTTCTGCTGTTTACAATTGCAATAGTATTTTAAATTTGAAACTTCATTTTCGACAAAATGACATGTCTCGTTATAATTCTAAATAAATAAGTAAACAATTATTTAAACAAATTATTTTTTTTTGTTATTACTATTTTCAATATAGACCTAAAGAAATTCAAATTTTTAGTGATTTCTTGATTTTTAAGATTTTACAAATATTATAAATCAAAGCTAACTATCAAATATAATCTCAATAATTGGTTAACAATTGAATTTGTTTTTCTGTTCGTCCTCTTTGCAATGAAAATGAAAATTAATTTACTCTTTGGAATGATCAATAAAAATAATTTATTAGCAAATAAAACTACACAAATATATTTTTTGTTTTGGCTGTTATACAAATTTTCAGATTGGAAACAATAAGCTTTATTATAATAATAAAATAAAATTTATTTCCACTTTGAAAAAGACATGTGAACTAATCATAACTTTATGATAATAAAACTGATTTACTGAAACCTGGGTATTTTTGGCGATAATTCTGAACGACCTAAAAAATGATTTAGAATAATAAGTACTGCTTTTGATCTTCATTTTTAGTAAACTTGTCATTGAACTCTTCTATAAGTTTCACCCTTCTTTCAGCAACATCATTCACGACTTTTAAGGACAGAAAAATTTTTCGCCCTTTTTGGAAATTTTTGTTTTCTTCCCAGAAAGAAGGATCTTCATATAAAAAATCTGTAGGGATATTAAATCTTTGGAAAAGCTGCTTCGACCGATTTGTAATTAAATTTTCTGGAAATAAATCTGATCTCAAGAACGAGTTAAGTTCTTTGTAGGATAACGTTTTTTTTTTTGAGTTGCAGTTTTCAATCTTCATTAATAGATTCAAATTCAATTATTTTATCAGCCACGGTTTTTCGCTTCTGATATTCAAGTCTCTTGTTAAATAAGCACAATGCAGCACATTCATCGTTTAAATACCATAGATGGTTTAAAATTTTTTTTTGCACTTTTTCTGCTATTCGTGGGTTGTACGTTTTAAAACTTTCCAATTTTTTCAAAAAATGATAATCTGTAATTGGAGTTTCAGTGGCGTTTGCAGAACGAAACCATGCCTCGACATAGCAATAAATGATAAAACAACATATATTATTTATTGCATTTTTTTCATGTTTCGTTAGTTTAAATTGGTCTCTAAATAGAAATATTTTTAAGCAGTATATGGCTTTTGCCATCCACCGTGCTCTGTGATAGGCTCCAGGACTTCTGAATCTTATTCCACTTGGAGGGCTATCTCCTAAAAAAATTATAACTAGATCTAAGAACTCTTTGTAATCATCACGTGGAAAATCTTCCAAAATTTTCTTCTGTGCAAAGGAAAGAATGTTTGTTTTTACGGAATTCAAGCATTTGCGAACATCCTCGTCTGAATCCCATGTCATAAATTTAGTTGTGTCGATTTTTGGCCAGATTTTTTGAAATTTCTTAAAAATTTGAATATCAGGACCAGACTGAACAGAAAGTTTTGATTCTTCGAAGACACTGGCAAGCATTATTTCGTACACATGATGTCTACAAGCTAAAAACAGAATATCTCTGTTTAATTTTTGTTCGAGAAGAACACAGGCACCGTTTAAATGACCAGAATTAGCAGCCGTTATATCGAAAACGAATGCCTGTGTTTGTTTCTCCAATGACCAACTTTGCAATAAATTATAAACCGCACAAGCCACTTGTTCTCCTGTTGCAGAACTCAATTTTGGTACACCGAGTAACTGCTCTTTATCGGAAGTCGTCGCAATCATAGGAAGACGGTCGACAGTTTCTTTACCAGTTAAATCGGGTAAAATTTTTGAATCCCAGTGAACAATGACAAAATCTCTAGTTTCGTTAGAAAATTTAATATGAATCTGATTGGCAGTTTCTTTTCGAAATTCTTCCCTTTTTCTTTTAATTGACGATCGATTTATAATAAATTCCCTGGGGTCCAAATCAAGAGCTTCAACACACGCTATTAAAATGTGAACAGCATCCCTGTCACTAATTTCACATTTATCAAATGCTGCACAAAGTTTTTCTGTTAAAATTGGTTGACGACCTCTTTTTGATTTTAATGTTGATGACACATTTGAAAATGCTTCATTATCGTCTGATTTCAAATTATCATCTTCAGAAACCTCATCTTCAGAAACCTTATCTTCATTGAAATTGTCAGACATCGGCATAGAAACTATTTCTTGTTCTAGAAAGAAAAATACAAATCAAACTAATATTAAATTTTTGTTAACTAAATTATTAATTTATTAAATTAGTTTACTGAACATCTACTTTGAAAATATGATCAATTGAGAAAAACTCTATCGTGAATTAAGAGAAGGAAAATAAAAGAATAAACAAATAATAATCAATAATAAATAAATTTGAATAAATTATTACGAGGCCTTATTAAGAATAATCAAGATGTTCATTTATTTCAAAATTCTATAAAGACAACATGTTTAAACACTTAGAGTGGCCACTTCAGGTTTTTCAGTTTTTACACCACATAACATTAATAATTATTGACAAAATTAACATAAATATTATCATAATTATTCTAAATTGATTTTATTTTGTTACAACTTGACACTTTTTTGTGTCAAGATGTGTGAAAAAAGTATCAAGATGTAACAAAATAAAATCAATTCACAATAATTTAATCTTATTATTAAAAATGTAATTTAATATGTGGACACCTCCTTCAGGAGGTATCCATGCTCGATTATGATAATATTTATGTCAATTTTGTCAATAATTATTGATATTAAGTGGTGTAAAAAGATGAAAAACCTGAAGAGGGTACTGTAAGTGTCAAAACATATTCTCTTTATAGAATTTTGAAATAAATAAACATCTGGATTATTCGTAATATGGCCTCGAAACAATTTATTTAACATATAACAAATACGAGTTAAAAAATTTATTAACCAAAATAAATGTAGTTTACAAAATCCACTAAAATCAAACTTAAAATACCAGTCATGTCGATTGACTTACCAATGTTAAGTACTTCGTTTATTGAATCCACTAATTTAGTCTGCTCAACTTCACCTTTGTCATTCGAGAGATCTAAAATTTCAAATATTCCCTGCATGTATCCAACTCGACCTTTTTTTCGTTGACTTCTTAAAAATTCCTTATTTTCTTCGGTTCCAACTAAATTCATTGCATCTGCATGTGCTATATCAAATAGGTCGTTCAGTCCGTTTTTAAAATTTTTTTCTTTGATTCTTTGAGATTTCAAATTTCGGTTTTTATTTTTTTGTAACTGTCTTAACATATCATACAATTTCTCTAATTTTTTTACAGAATTATGATTATCTTTAGTTGGGATGTTAGCCTTTTTCCAAAAAATTTCACATTCATCAATCACAAGTTTAGCACTATCATGTAAATTCATTTTCGCGTTTCTTAAATTATAAAATAAAACACTAAGGCAGTCTCCATTTGATGGTAATTTACTACCTGTAATTTGGTGCTTCATCGCACCCACAAGATAAATTGGATAGCGAGACATTTTTTTTAATCACGAGAATTTTAGTTATTTACTTACTTATATATTATAAGACATAAAATCCAAACGTTTCATTATTCTTTTTTGTAAACTAGCAGGACAGTTCCGGTCGTCCGTTCATCAATGAGTATATCGCACTTTTAAAACATAATATGATATAATCACTTTCCTTGCACCAAAATTAGGATTTATTATAAACCGAAAGAACAAAGGATGATTGCATGGTTAATCATTACAAAAATTGAATTAATATATCAAAAATTTTAAAGTTGCAGTCATACCTGAACAAACCCGTCTAAACTTGTCGTAGCACATCGACTTGCAACATTATAAATAAAACTATACTGTCAGAATTAGGCTGGGCCGCAGTTAATAATTCGCACTGTATGTATTTTAGAAAATCTAAAAGTATTAAATTGATTAAAAAATTAAATTGTTTAAACAATTGTCGAAAATGAAGTTTCAAATTTAAGATACTATTGCAATTGTAAACAGCAGAACTACTTGCAAAATTAAGGGGGAAGAGCAACTTTGTAGATACATTTAAACACTAGTTTTAAAATAACAAAAATAATTTGTTTAAACAATTTTTGTTAACATTTTTTTAAATAAACTGTTATTTATTGCAGTTCATGTCAATAAAAGTTATAAAATTAAAAAAAACATCATTTTCCAGATATTTTTAACAACAATATATTGTTTAAACAAATTGCAAATTATTGAAAAATACGATTAATAGTATTTGTTCAATTTGTAAATAAAAAATCTTGCAAAAAAGACTATAAAAAATATTAATAAACATTTTTTAACGATTTTTCCCTGATTTTGCATTTTTTGAGGGTTTTTAGGGGCTGTTTAAAAAATATTTGTTATTAAAAATTCATAAATAAATTATTGGATCTTATTCTTTGAACATAAATGAAGAAAAACAAAGTGGTCCGATAAAAAAATATTCATTTTTCATCATTTCATAGCAAATCTACGAAAAAACGTTTTTTCCCCATGCAAAATGCATGTAAAAATTCAAGTGCGATGAGGCACCATTAAATATTAATTAAAAAAAAAAAAAAAAAATACGTGTCTCTTATTTTTCCATGCTTAACAAAATGAGGGGTTACGAACTTTAAAATTCGAAAATTTGTTTTTTAAGGACCACCCTAATGTATATATTTAATGAATATATTTTAATATTTGCATACTTTCTTTATTATATAATAGAACAATCATCTTGATTAAAGCCACAGTAAATGGTAATTCTGCAGTTGACAAAATTTGACTTATAAGATCTAAATTACCCCAAATTTGAATTAATCTTATCGCTTGTGGTAAAACTGCACTTAAAAATGTAAATGTAAATGTTATAATAAACAAAAATTTTGATAAATTTTCATTTTTACGTGTAGGTTCAGGCCATACACCTAACATTCCAAGACTTGCACGACTGAATGTTGAAAAATAATCAAGAGCTGTTCATCAAAAAAAATAAAATTAGTTACATTAATTAATTTTCAATTCAAAAACAATGATTGAATAATATTAATTTTTTAAATTTACATTAAAATTATTATTATTATTATTATTATTATTATTTATATTGAAATAACAGAAGAATTTTTGTCTATACTAAAAAAAAAATTTCCTACCACTTTTACCATCCATTTTTATGTTCATTTTAGCTATTAAAATTTTATACTTGTTTTTTAAAAAATAGAATCACATTTTTTCGATAGAATTTAGACATTTACTTAGATCAGAAAATAACAAAACAGTGGTGCAAGACTAAAAGAGGGTATAAAACTCGAAACTAAGTTTCGATCCATATTTCGTGGAAAAAGAATAAGGAAGTAAAATTGAGTTCGTGCATTTGTCAAAATTATGTAATGACTAATAATTTTCAAACATTAGAGTAGTTTTGTTTCATCAAAATCTTTCAATATTTATAATCCTATGTATATTGGGAAATTACTTAGAATTATCAAATTAAAAACAAGCATGCGCATTTCATTTTGAGCCATGAGTCTTGTTCATTTCTTTAGGTCTTGTCACTAATTCAAGATTGAAAAATTGTTAACTTAAACTACAGATTTTGTAAAGAAATAATTATTTATTTCTACCAAATTATAATAAAAATACATAATAAAAAATAAAAATTAAAAAAGATAAAATTATTCGTAAACATTTGTTTAACCTCATTGTATAAATTTTATACAAATAAACTCTACTTTAAAAAAAATTTACACAATTAAGGTAGCACACACAGTAAGCAAGAAATATGAGTGTTTTTTTTTGGAAAAAAACAAATGGATAATTTATTTAAAATCTTTTACATGTTATTAAGTACAACTTAAAGTACATTTTCTAATAATTTTTGTGAAAAAATATTGCCAATTTTTATAGATATAGTACTTTTTCCAAAATTGATGTTTTTTTGCGGTGGACATGATAAGCCAAAGAAGAATAATCTGCAATCAAAAACCAAAAAGATTCTGTGTTAGTAGATGACTTTTATTTAATTTTTATTTAAGGCGAGTACATCAGTTGTAACGCGAAAAAAAGTTTTTTTCAAAAATGTTTTCTTAATAAACCATGAATTTACAAAAAAAAAAATATTATTTATTACCTAAAAGTGCATGTCTAGAATTTTAATTATCAAAAGCCATTGAAGTGACGTTTTCGTGAAAAACATGAAGTCCAGTGACCAGAATTCCGCAAGTATAGTTTATCTAAAATTGCAAAAATGAAATTGATTTACATTTCTTATAAGATTGTCCAGTTCCCAATCGAAGGATTAAAAAAAATATATACATATTTAACAAAATGGCGACCCGTTAAAGATAAGGATATGATTTTCGTTGAAAAATAAGGTCAATTTTCAGATGTAGAAAAAAAAGTTCATAAATTTTAAAGATTCATTTTTTATTTTGCAGTGAAAAATTTCAGTTGTGAGTATTGAACGATCTCTAAAATTCTTTGGCATTTAATTATCGCCATTTAAAAACGGCACTGAACGTCAAAATGATAAACATTGGTTTTAAAATACTTTTTTCTCGAAATACGAAATTTTGTTTTTCAAAATTCTCCAAAATACCAAGTATATCCTTATCTTATAAATTTCTTAAATCCGAATGATTGTATAAATCTATACAAAAACTCGATTTTAAAACGAAAAGTAGGAAAGTAGGGGAATAGTGTCAGGGTTGAACACTTGGCTTTTTTTAAATAAGAACACTAGCGCCACCTGTGTGCGTACGTGACGAATCTTCTAGTAGTGTAACCTAACTTTTTGTGGCATTACATTTTTGGAGAATCAAAAGTAGTGTCTCCTGTGACTTCGGTGCAATCGAAGAGACAAAAAAAGTTTTGTTTGACTTGTGAATAAACCTAAAAAATGTGTAAAAAAAGCAAGAATTCGGCAAGGTAAGCTTATTGAATGTATTGTGGGGTACATAATTTAAGAAGAAAAAAAGTGAAAAATCGAATCGCGACACATGTCTGGTTATGGTTAGCACAATTCGAAAATGATGCTTCTAGTTAGGGTTGGACACCCATATTAATTATGAATTTGACACAATTTATAAATAAATAAATAATTATAAATTTTATTTTATTGATATTTCAGTGCAAAATTGTGCCAAAGATATTAGAAAAATAATACTTAAATTGTATAAAAGTTGTTCATCATTTCATTGAGTTATTTGGAACAATAAAGCGTTATTTTTTGTAATTTGAGTTCATTCCTTTTTTAAACCCATGAAGCTTTACAATTTGTAAACAATAAGTAAAGATAAACATAAAAAAATAAGAATAAAAAACATTACAAATGTTATTTTACGTTTTTACCAATAATGCGTTTAAATGTTTATAACTTTTTTAATTTTGGACCAATCAATTTACGGTCCACAGCAAAAGTGTTCCTCATTTTTAGATCTTTCCACCCATATACCACAATTGACTGAATTTATCTAAACAAAGTATTTATAAACAAAAAACCAAAACTGTGTCCAACCCTGACACTATTCCCCTAATATAATGACAGCTGCGACTTTGTACTCTCTGTATGCTTCTGCCATCTGACGGCGGCAAGACGTAATAAACCTATCATTATATTACTTTCCTACTTTTCGTTTTACAATCGCGTTTTTGTATAGATTTGCACAATCTTTCGGATTTAAGAAATTTATAAAATAAGGATCCTTGATATTTTGCCCGATTTTGAAAAAAGTGTCCGCGTTTCGAGAAAAAAGTATTTTAAAAACAATGTTTATCATTTGTGACAGGATATTTTATTGAAACTTAACACTCAAATTTTGAATAAGGTCGACATTTAGTGTCCTTTCGTTATCGATTCGATCATGGAGATCTATGAGAAATGGAACGCATGCGTTTGACGAGACGCCGTAAAACTGCGTGCTTGTCGGGCACATGGCACTCTTGGATCGATCGTTAATATCAATAGACGTATAAAATTATATTTGAAAATGTAACTTGTATGTGAGTGAGTGTTCATATTGTGTCGACTTAGGAAGATTTACTTGACAAATTATGGAAAATTAATCTATTAGACGTCAATTGTAAGTTGATCTTTTATTATATTGATTAAATCGACTGATTGAACTCGCTCATTTTATTCTTTTGGGTTCTGTTATTTTATCCACACCCTGTAATTATATTTCTCTTGCTCTAGTTGAAGGTAATTAACGTAAAATCTAATTATTTTATATTATAAATTTTTGTTGACCTTCAGTCGACTGGCGCCCGCGGTAATTTTTATTAAATTATTAATTCTTGACCCTTGACGGCTTTGAACCCGGCTGCGCCAAGTAAGTGTAGATCTTATTTATTTAATTTTTATATATTTTATTGAAATAAGATATCTGCCTGTCTCAATGTTCACGTTCAGTGTCGTTTTCATAGGGCGATAATTAAATGCCGAAGAATTTCAAAGACCGTTTGACACTCTTAAAATAAAAATCAAAATAAAAGTGAAGTTTAAAGTCAAAGTGAAAGTCAAAATGAAATTACATAATTGCATCCCTGGCGCATAAAATAAGTCTCCACTGATAAATCAAAGTCCAATACGTCGTTTAGTTTCTGTCTATCTCGAATCCAATTGAAACTTCAGGAAAACGTTTTTGACATATGTTGTACTTTAAGAATTATTATTACTATTAAATTATTTTTTTCCCTTCAGAAGTAGAAATTATTAGTTGCTTTTTCTCATAGTGATTAAAAATGACAGATATCCCATTGATGTTTTAATAATCTAGAAATAATTATAAATTATTTAAATCAATATACAGTATTACATTTGCTTGAATAAATTATAAATTTATTAACAATAAAAAAAATTAATTAATACATTTCACAATTGAGGCTCCCAATTCAAGAACCGGTCATGCGCAATGTCTTAGCCATAGCGTGCGACCGTTTCTTGAATTGGAAGTCTCAATTATGAAGGATGTATGAGGGTGAAAATTAAAAATTCTGTTAGCCATATGTTAAGATTTGACAATTTTCAATTGGATCACTAGAGACAAATTCAAAAAAGGCCAAATAACTGAAATATTGAATAAAATCTGATGTTACGGAGGGGAGATTTAACACTACTTTTCATTCAATAATTCAGTTATTTGACCTTTTTTTTTTGAAATTTTCATTAGTGATCTGATTGAAAATTGTTAAATTTTATCGTATGGCTGGCAGATTTTTATTAATTGAAATTAATTTTATTATTTTTTAACAAAAATATTATCTAAAATCGTGCACACTTTGATTTTTGCCCTTTTCGAGAGGATCAACTATAAATAAACGGTATTTTACTTTGTAAAATATATTTAATTTTTGAAATTTGACAATTTCTTTTATAAATATTAAAAATTTGCAAAAATAATTTTTAGCCCTTGTGTGCATATCCAGGTACCCACGACTATAGAATTATTTTTATTATAATCGTGTAAATATTAAAATTACGTTTCGTGACAAGATAGGTTTTTTTTATGAATATGGACATAAGGGTTATTTATATATCTAAAAATAATATTAATATAGTAGAATAATAATAATAATAATAATAATAATAATAATAATAAATAATATTTATTTTACAGACAGGAAACTTTCTTACACTTCCAAAGAGTTGGAAATTGAAGACGACGAATTTTCCAGCTGTTATTTGTACAGGTTTATTGCCACTTCGCATTAGTAGGAGAAGAGATTTGGCTTTTTGTGAAGGTAAATTAAACCATTCAGTTTCATATGCAGTGTCTGCAAATGCATAGCTCTAAAAATATTTTTATTAAAATTAAATTATTTAGTATTAAAAAAAAAATTTTTTTTTAAATCATTAGTATTTTAAAATTTTTTTTTTTCTACTACATCTTACTTCCATTTGTAACATTTCAGTTAAATAGCAATAAATGTAGAAGTTTCCTATTATGTACATAAAAAATACCACTATAAATAAGATCTCTGATATCATTGAACTGTGATTTTCATGAGTTATAAACTGAAAAAACGAACTACGTTTTTAACGAGCTCTTAACGAGAAATTTTTCGAAACAAGAACTGGGAATTGAACCCGGGTTCGATGGACGCTAACCAAATACCCTAATCGACAAGCTAAACAACCAACTATCAGATAAAAAAAAATCTTGCCCTTAACCCTAAACTGATTTTATAAGTTTGGTTGTTGATTGTTAGTTGGTTGTTCAGCTTGTCGGTTAGGGTATTTGGTTAGTGTCCATTGAACCCCAGTTCAATTCCCAGTTCTCTCAAATTTTTTTTGAAAAATTTCTCGTTAAGTTTCCAAGTAAAAATTAGCAGGGCTCAATTAATTAAAAAAAAAAGTCAAAAGTATCTTGAAATTCAAAAAATAAATAAATTTTTTTTTCTAAATTTAATAAGTATTTTTAAAAAATTTCAGCAAGCTTTCTGAAAGCTTTCAACAACCTTTTAGCAAGCTTGCTGCAATTCTCCTGCAACATTTCATAGGAAACTTACAGCAATCTTTCACGGCAAGCTTTCCTATATAATTCGCATTAAGTTTGCAGCAATCTTTCCTTGAAATCTTGTAGCAATCTTTCATAGCAAGCTTACAACAATTTTTCACGGAAAGCTAGCTATTGCTGGGATATTTTGCTATTTTAGGCAGGCTTGCGGCAAGCTTCTGTACTATTTGCAAATACACTTATTTGTTTATAAATAATTGTTAATTTACAAATACTTGTTTATTTATAAACAATTATTTATTTGCAAACATATTTATTTATTTAATGAAAAATAATATTACATTTATGTAGAAGTTATTTGTTTATTGTTAAATAAGTCACAGTGACAATAACATACAAATCAATATAATAAATAATTTACTTACCAAAATAAAAAAGTATGCTTGCAAACAAATTTGAAAAGTACATGCAAGCAGCTGTACAAGAAACATCAGGTGAAAGGTACTTTCTATGATTTCAATGCAACTAAAGACAAAATATGTTGTTTCAATGCCTAAATGAAACTTTATTTCAAAAATAATAAATCAGATAGGAATGCCCTTTTTAAAATTCTTAAAAGAGAGAAAAAAAAATTGATATAAACGTGATAAGGAATAAAAAATATTAAGTAAATGACCTGTTAATTTGATGGTGGAAGTTGATAATATTGTTAAATTTTTCATTAAATTTGGATTTAATTTTTGCGTTATTAAAATTATTGATAAGATGCAATAATCTCAAACGTAAGATATGATACTGTGCGGTATAATGAAAAGATAATTGACTAAAGAAACTGTCTGTTCCAGTATATGCAATTGTTCCACAAACAGTGCCGATATATTGGAGACAACATATAATTTCAAAAGTTGGACTGTAGTTCCATCTAAATGGAAAATATGCATCAACATATAATGTAAAATTTCTCAAATGTACTGGACTATTCCAATTAGGCAAGTTCTCAAAAATACATTGAACTAAACGAGCGGTAATTGTTACATGACCCATAATGAGGCATATCAATGAAAATTGTTTCCCTTTGCGACCACTTTTAATCATTATATCTAATTCTTCATTACTTTTCTTGCTCTTCCAATTGGCCATCATATTATCGTAAATAGTTGACATTTCTGAAATAATATGTAATAAGGATAACAATAATTAAAATTTTAATGTTAAATAATTATAACAAAGTAATAAGGACCAAATAAATTAAGACAAAGTTAACAGAATGTGACTGTTAAAGGCGACGTCAGAAAGGTTAAAATTCTTTTTATATTTTTTATTAAAATTAAATAAAAAAAAATTAAAATTTCACCAAAAATTTAATTTTTTTAATATATTTTTCCAAAAGAAAAAACTCCTAAGATAATACAAAAGATTCACTAAAATTTTTTATATCTATACCAACTTGAACGGCATTAATCTCTAAACCTAAATAAATTAATAAAAATTGTTAAAAATTTATTAATAAACTATAAAAAAAAATTAAATTAAATCCGTCTCTATATATGCGCAATTAAAATTAGTTAAAATTTTTTATAATTTAAATTTAGAAAGTAAACTTGTAATCCAATGATTTTTTTATTTTCTATTTTTGGGTTGATGATATATTTATAAATATTACAACATTTTTTTACAAACTTTTTTTATTGCAATATAGTACGACCATTTTAAACAATGCGACCAAGTATGGTAGTTCTGCAACACATAATACATTACTCAAACGATCTATATCCCCCAAAACTTGAAACACTCTGCAACCTTGAGGAATAAATACGCCGAAAAGAAGAAACAATAAACTAATAATAAATAAGCTTTTTGATAATTTTTCATTTTTTTGTGTGGGCCACGCTCCAAAACTTGTGAGACTGATTCGGGAGAATAATGAAAAAACTTCCAGGTAGTTATCTTTAAAAATAATCAAAAATTAATTTAAAAGAATATGGAATTAATTTTTTTTTTTTAATAATTTAAAAAACACTATTTTTTATGTGAAATTACGTGAGAGTACACTGAAAAAAAACTAGTAGGTTTTACTACTTTTTAACTACTTTGAGTAGTACAATAGGTTCTCAACTGAATTTAAACGGTTCTATTAACTATATAAAAATAGGTAAACCAATTAAAAATGTAATTGGTAGAATGACATTTTGTGATTGTATTTACTCAATTTAAAAATGTTAAAACAACTCAAGATGTAAGTAGTAGATTTTACTACTTAAAGTGGTTCATTAGGCTTTAAGAACATTTTTTTGGTACATTTAATAAATATTTTGCAATTGAAACTACTACTTTAAGTAGTAAACTTTACTACTTAAAGTGGTTCAATAGGCTTTAAGAACATTTTTTTGGAGAATTAATAAATCTTTTGCAATTAAAACTACTACTTTAAGTAGTAGATTTTACTACTTAAAATAGGAAAATAAAATTATTTTTTATTTATAATAATCCGATACCTTAACCGACTAACCACGCACGCTCGCTACGACAGTCTGCAAACTACTCGAAGACTACTTTCTGCTTGTCCAATTGGTAATTTAACTATTTAAAGTAGTCATTTTTACTACTTTTATTAGTTGCTATAACTATCCTTTTTAAGTTTTGACTAGTAAATTTTTCATCTTTTAATTATATTATAAGTTGTTTAATTGCATAGTGCAGTAAAATCTACCACTTAATGTGATAGTTTTAATTGCAAAGGATTTTTTAATTCTACGACATAAATGTTCTTAATGATAGAACGTCCAAGCGCCCGTCCTGCCGGAAGGCTTTTTTAGATGGCCCTATATATATGAGGGTGGTAAAAAGGGAACTCAAAATTTTTTTTTTTCACCTTTTCTTATTAAAGTAGACGTAAAAACGAAAAAATTCATGCGTTAGACTTAAAAAAAAAATAATATTAAACCATGTTTCGAAGCCTTCAAACTTTGCATGTTTGCTACAAGCCAAAAAAACAGTTTTTCGTAAATTCACTGTAAAATCTACAAAAAGCAATATTTTTCAGTCTAACTACTCTCATTTTCTTCTGAAGTCTTCAAAGAATAAAATGTGATAGTTTATTTTTAAAAAAATTCAGTTTAAATATTTTTTTGGATTCGTCAAAAAAACCCTATAAAAACGTTCTTTTTCTTTGAATTCCCTAGCCTAGGGATTTTAATTTACAAACATTATGTTTACATGCGCTAAAAGCTTGTGTTTTTACCTTTCCAACGATATATTTTACTTTTGGATTATCTGAATCCATGTTAATTTTATAAAGCGATTTCGGAGGGACTCACGTGAGTCTTCTTCATCCTGCCGGAAGGCTGTTGGACGTTCTATCATTAAAGCCTATTGAACCACTTCAAGTAGTAAAAGCTACTACTGAAAGTAGTAGTTTTAATTGGAAACGATTTGTATCAAAAACTTTTTTCAAGCTTATTGAATTAATTAAAATATAGTAAAAAATTACTACTTAAAGTAGTAGTTTTAACTGGAAACGATTTGTAAATTCTACATCAAAAATCTTCTTTAAGTTTATCGAATTAATTAAAATAGTAAAAATCTACTACTGTGCGATTTCAGGTGATATTTTGACTTTTTCGGAGTAGGTTAACCGATTGCAATGAAACTTTGGAATTTTGTTATATATAGTAAGACTAATCTTTAACGTAAATTTCAGCTTAAAATATTTGTTAGTTTACGAGATTTGCAATAATAACAAAAAATTTTAAACTGCTATATCTTCCGTTCTAATAATCGGATTGAGGTCTACTTTTTTTAAAACTGTCAAGGAAAATGAGAGGAATAAATCTCTTTCAGAACAATTTTTTATAATTTTACAACTAAAAAAATTATTAAATAATAATTGAATAAATTTCAAGCGACAATCTAAAATTCAACCACTTAAACGCTAAAATGATCTTACAAGTGTTTTCTTTAATGTTCCAAAGGAATCCAATTGTAAATGCAAGTTTACAAGTGACATTGCGCATGCAGCATTCTCACGTAGTCAATTTAGTCCACGAATCACGTCAGCTGGTTATAGGAGAATGCTGCGTGCGCAATGTCGTCTGCACGTCAACTAGCAGAAATCGCAATTGTTTATACTCGTAAATTATTAAAATTAACCATGTTAAACTTGCATTTACAATTGGATTCTCTTGGAACATTACAGAAAACACTGGTAAGATCATTTTAGCGTTTACGTGATTGAATTTTAGATTGTCGCGTGAAATTTATTCAATTATTATTTAATAATTTTTTTAGTTGTAAAATTATAAAAAATTGTTCTCAAAGAGATTTATTCCTCTCATTTTCCTTGACATTTTAAAAAAAGTAGACCTCAATCCGATTATTAGAACGGAAGATATAGCAGTTTAAAATTTTTTGTTATTATTGCAAATCTCGTAAACTAACAAATATTTTAAGCTGAAATTTACGTTAAAGATTAGTCTTACTATATATAACAAAATTCCAAAGTTTCATTGCAATCGGTTAACCTACTCCGAAAAAGTCAAAATCTCACCTGGAATCGCACTACTTAAAGTAGTAGTTTTAATTACAGACGACTTGTTAATTCTACAACAAGAATTTTATTGAAGCCTATAAAATCATTGAAATTAATAAAAAATGTACTACTCAAAAAGTAGTTATATTAATTAAAGAAAATAATTCCTTTTACTACATTTCATATAACTGGTGAATAGTAGTTGGATTTACTACTCTTCAAATTTTGAGTTCCACTACATTTTTTTCAGTGTACATTCACATCTCCTTATATAATTTTTATTAAAAATATTTTTATAATTGAGAAAACGTAGACAGATAAGAAAACGACTTTTTCGGAACAAAAAATTTTAAAATTTAATTGTTTTTGTGATAGAAAATTCCCATTGGAATTGATAAAGTTTGATCCATGGAAAGTGAAAAAACATAAAATTTTAACTATATTTAAGAAAATTTTAATTAATTAATTTTTTTTTTATTAATTGATATGTAATTTTTATATAAGGATTAATAATCAGGTTATTGAAATGACGTATTGTAGTTTAAAAAAAAGTATGTTTTACAGTTTATATCTGGTTTTACAAACTTCCATGAATCGAATTTAATCAATTTAGTATTATAATTTATTTTATTTGATCCACTTTACCATTGATATTTGTTAATTTTTCATTCATTTTTTTGAGCTTCGTTGTTTTTCTTCGATAAATTAAAATCCTACATTCTCGCACTTTAATTAAATATATGATTAAATTATATGATTAATTTTTTAATATTAAATTTTAATGAACAAAAAATGATATCCTTTAAAATATTTCATGTGTTAAAAATATAAGGAGTTAAAACGATTTAATAAAATTTAGAGTTCACGAAACGGTATGTATAATACAAAGAGGTACAAACATTTTACGTATTAGATATATAATACTATAAAGAACAAAAATTGTAGTTATTTATTTTTAGGTGAAATTGCAAAAAAATATACGAAAGTTTATTATCTTTACCATATTAAGTTAATGACGAATCATTTTATAGCATCATTGTTGTTCGTATGCTAAATAAGTTAACGATTCCCATTACATAATTATGCAATTTTACTTTGGTTGAAGCATGCGCAAATTGTCATTTTTATTTCATTTTTGTTTCCAATAGTTTGTTTCGGTTGAGCTTTCATTTATAACACATTTCATGTCTTTTTAATTTTACAGAACAGAAATGTCGAAAATTTGCATATATATTATAAGAAGAAAATTAAATGGATTTCAATGATTCGTTGCTAAATAAACATTTAGTTATAAAGAAATAAAACATTATTAGTTATGGAATAAAAATTAATAATTGGAACTGAGGGATCTTCATTAAAATTTCCGCGTCTCCGCAGTTGAGTAAACAACTTTCCTATTTTACATTATTTTTTTTTTGAGGACAAGTGAATAACAAAGTAATGCAAAATATTGAAAATTTAATAACTCAACTGCATTAGTTACTGTTGCAATAATTACATTATTATGAAATACAGTAAATAATAATAATAATTGTTAGCTAGTATATTAATTTAATTTTCTCCATCTTTTTAAACATGATTATTTGTTGTTCTTTTTCATAGTTATTAAAAACGATAGATATCCCAATGATGTTTTAACAATCTAAAATTAAATAGAAATAATGATCAATTATATTCTAAGTATTTTATAGAATTACATTAATTTAAATTGATTTATATATTCTTTAGTAGTAAAAAAATTATTTCGATACATATTATGTGAATAAGAGAAATTTTAATTTGTAAAAAATAAAGAGCCTCGGCATGGGATGACCCAATAATCCCTGCAAAATTTTTAAGATCAGGTTGTCGATTACATCTTGTCTTTGTTGGTTGTATTATTACATCTTGCCTTCGCAAACTTAATTTGGCATTACATCTACCCTTTATTGGATATATTAGATCCGCCATTTTGAATTTTTTAAAACTAATTTCAGATTCGTAATTCGCGACCCCAAAAACCCATGTGTGACCATTTTCAAGTAAATTGGATGGATTTTTAAAATTGTCTTCCACCATATTGGATCCGCCATTTTGAACGTTTCAAAAAGAATCTTGGATTTATAAACGGCGACCCAAAAACCCCTGAGTAACGATTTTCAAGTACATTGGATGGATTTTAAAAATTTTCGTCTGCCATATCATATTCGCCATTTTGAATTTTTAAAAACGGACCTTACATTCGTAATCAGCGATCCCAAAAACCCACGAGTAACGATTTTTAAGTACATTGGATTGATTTTTGTAATTGTCGTCCACCATATTGGATCCGTCATTTTGAATGTTTAAAAACGTACCTTAGATTTGTAATGAGCGACCCCAAAACCCCCGAGTAACCATTTTCAAGTAAATTAGATGGATTTTTAAAATTGCTGTCCGACATATTGGATCCGCCATTATGAATTTTTGAAAACGGACTTCAAATTCGTAATCAGCAGACGAAAATCTTGAAGGAACCATTTCGTCTGATTTTTTTAACTATTATTGTCACGTCACCGTAACATTTTTTTATAATATTTATGTAAGATTAATTTTTTGTTTAAAATACATTTGTAAATAAATAATTGTTTTTAAATAAACAAATATTTGTAAATAAACAATTACTTATAAATAAACAATTATTTATAAATAAACAAATATTTATAAATAAAACGAATATTTGAGAGTAAATCAATTATTTATAAATATTAAATGTATAATAAAATAAGAATGTTAATAATCATAATTAATGTTAAAATATATTAAAAATGATCAATATATAAAAATTATAATATTTCTTTAGGATGTAGTGTTCTTGACATTTTGTGTTATTAAAATAAGGAAATCAACATATACGGAGTCACCAACACATAGAAGAAAAGCAATAAACACTTTTCATGTCTGTGAGGTACCGATCTTGAATCTAACCCAAAGAGGCGAGCTGGTACCGCCGCGAAGAATACATTGGAAAATATACCTATATAAAGGGAGACCTTTCACTACAAAGGCGGTCCCAAATTGTACGCACAAAGTTCATCGTATCGAGCGTCAAATACAGTTCCAAAATATATACATCGAAGATACACAAGTGTCATCATAGTTAACAAGTTAAAATATTACATATTCAGAAGTTTTCGTCAGTTACGGTCCTGTCTAAAATATACCAGTGTCAATGCGGTAATAAAAATTGTACAACTTAGAAGATATAATCTTAGGATTATATTATAAGTTCAGATTAGATAAAATTAATATTTATTTAAAATATGACATAACATTATTTAATAATATTGCATGTTCTTTTTTAACATGGCCCCCTTTGACCCCCTGTATTTTCGTAAGGGGGCGTATGCTCATCTTGAAATTTTACAAGGATTATTGGGTCATCATATGTTACCATTTGTCATGAAGAAAGTTTCAAAATGCGAGATACGAAAAAGGGGTATTTTTTGCCGAGGCTTTTTACTTACACTACCAAATAGTTGAAAGTTGAAAACGACGAATTTTCCTGCCGTTATTTCATTAGGTTTATTACCCCTTTGCATAAGTAAGAGAAGAGATTTTGCTTTTTGTGAAGGTAAATTAAACCATTCAGTATCATATGCCGTCTCGGCAAACGCATAACTCTGAAAATATTTTTATTATTTCAATATTAACCCATGGAAATAGTATATTAAGCAACAAGGGTCCAAAGGCAGCCATTGGACCATGACTACTTTGTTTTCGGGGTCGCTGAAACCGTATCTGAAGTCCGTTTAATCCCATCACGTCAGGATTTTGAAATAACCTCAAAAAATCTCAAATTTGTCATCAAAATTTTGAAATCAAGAAAAATTCTTATCTCTTTGTCTCACTATGACTGCTTTACATTTTTGGGGTCGCTGAATCCGAATCTGAAGTCTATTTAACCTCATCATGTCAGGGTTTTGACAATACCTCAAAAAAACCAAAATTTAGGGTTTTTTTAAAGTTATTTCAAAACCCTGACGTAATGGGGTTAAATAGACTTCAGATTCGCATTCAGCTACCCCAAAAACATAAAGTAGTCGCATGGTAAGACTTACAATTAGAGATGAGAATTTTTCCTGATTTCAAAATTTTTGGGTCCAATTTTGGTTTTCTTGTGGTTATTTCAAAACCCTGACGTGATGGGGTTAAATAAACTTCAGATTTGCACTCAGCGACCCCAAAAACATAAAGTAATCATGGTAAGACTTGAGACATAAATTTTTTTTTGATTTCAAAAATTTGAGGTCAAATTTTGGTGTTTTTAAAAGTTATTTCAAAATCCAGACGTGATGGGGTTAAACGAAATTCAGATTCGGTTTTTAGCGACCCCAAAGCCATAAAGTAGTCATGGTCTGATCAAAAGCTCAGAACATCAATTTATTTTTGTGTGTGCCAGTGAAATCAGCGTCTTAACGTGGTTTCCCCCCTTAAACAAAAACTTTTGCGCAAAAATCTAGTCTTTTTGCAAAAAAAAAAAAAATTGTTATACATTTTTTTACTTAATTATATTGTCTTACTTCCATTTGTAACATTTCAGCTAAGTAGCAATAAATGTACAAATTTCCATTTATGTACATAAAAAATACAATTATAAAAAGAATTTCTGATAACATTGAACTACGATTTTCTTGACTTATATACTGAAAAAATGTTAAACAATTTTAATTATCTAAATAGGGAATATAAAATTTAATGCTATAAATTTACTTACCAAAATAAAAAAGTAACCTAACAAACAAAATTGAACTGTACAAGCCAGTATCTGTACAAGAAAGGTCAAATGGAAGGTACTTTCTACTATTTCTATGCAACTGCGTTAAATAAAATACAATATATTGTTTCATTGTCTCAATATTGTTTTAATGTTGTTTAATTTCGTAATATTCTGACAAAATATTCTATTTTTGCAAATTTTAAAAATATTGAAACAATATTTATGTAACATATATTAGAATGATCCGAAAATGTATAGAAATAAATATTTTTGTAATATTTTTTCATTTGTATAGTTCAGGGTGTATGTGGTATTTTTTTATTTAATATAATTCTGATCATTAATTTTGTTATTTCTGAAAATATAATTTGTATTTGTGAATTACAAAATTTGTGTATATTAATTTAATGATATAATTTTCTTAGAGCAAATTAACGATTTTATAATAATTATTGATTTACTTAGACTTTTAAATAATATTTTCAAATTTTAAATTCATTTTAAATACAAAATCGTTAGAGGATGAACTAGATAAAACAATAGCTACATTGGTTTCAAAGGCAGTCGCAACCAATCTTAAACAATAATAATAAGAAACAATGACTAAATAAAAAAAAATTTAGTACTACATAACTTGGCAGTGATTGTTGTTTAATTTGGAACAAATTTAAAATAAATTTTTTGACATTTGAGGCATTTTATATGAGAATACGGGGTCATGTCTCGGATTTTTCTCAAAATTCGGTAAATTGTAGTGATAGTGGTGCTAAATAAGTGTACAAATTTTGAATTTGAAATTTTTAATATTTTTCGAGATATTTACAATAACAAATTTGAGCAATATTTTTTTGCTTTACTTATAACTTTTTTCCTATTAAAAATAGAGAAAAATGTTGTAAATGGTTTTTACGCGGAAGATCTTAAACTTTTAGAAAAAAATTATTTTTTTAAAAAAATATTAATTTTTAAACAATTTGTTTAAAAAATAAAATTTGTTTATAACTTTTAAACATGTTTTCCCTCATTTAGAAGCGCGAAAAAAATCATGAATATTGTTTAAGTCAGAATAAATTGATGGTTAAATTTTTGAGATGGCATTATTTTTTGTTTTCGAGATATTAATTAATTAACTAACAAAAGTTAAAAAAAAATGAAATATTTTACGAACAAATAAAATTAGAGTAATTTTAAAAACGCCATTATAATGCTTATCAAAATCCGTATCCAACGAGCCCTATATGAACTATTTTGGATAAACTGGTGTTTTTAAAATTACTCTAATTTTATTTCTTCGTAAAATATTTCATTTTTTTATTAACTTTTGTTAGTTAATTAATTAATATCTCGTAAACAAAAAATAATGCCATCTCAAAAATTTAACCAACAATTTATTATGACTTAAGCAATATTCATGATTTTTTTCGCGCTTCTAAATGAAGGAGAACATGTTTAAAAGTTATAAACAAATTTTATTTTTTGAACAAATTGTTTAAAAATTAATATTTTTTTTAGAAAATTATTTTTTTCTAAAAGTTTAAGATCTCCCGCGTAAAAAACATTTACAACATTTTTCTCTATTTTTAATAGGAAAAAAGTTATAAGTAAAGCAAAAAAATATTGCTCAAATTTGTTATTGTAAATATCTCGAAAAATATTAAAAATTTCAAATTCAAAATTTTGTGATGACCGTTAAAATAGAAATTACTGAGACAAAAAAAATCAATAACAAACGTATAGGTAAAAAGCGCGGACGGTGGAGAAAGGCCCCACTGCACGGAGCGAAAAGTTGCGCACCAGCGACCGAGAACCGACCTAGCGTCGCGCAGCCCAAGTAATTTCCCCCTCCAGGCGCTCAGACCTCCGAGCTCCCCCACCGCTTCTCTGCCAGACGGACCGACATAAAATCAGCAGGCCCGACACGGAGAGCTCAGAACTGAGTTTGACTCAGGACTAAGAGTTTCACTCTCAGAGCCTTCCCTATCTTGAGTTTTACTCGATAGTGAATCGAAAGAGAGTTTTACTCTCTCAAGTTAAGAAAGGGTTTTATCCTTTTTTAATAGACTTCAGGGTATCTCTTACATCGTTCTCGAATCACGAGTATCACTCATGATCCCACCACCCAGAGTTTCACTCTGTCATCATCGAACGACAGGTGGATCAGCCGAACCATCCAAGGATCGCAAGGAGCATCGTTAGGGTGATCGTCCATTTTCCGCAAAGTTACCCCTCTGGCATTAATATAATTTCCGGTAACGCCACGACTCGCTTTATTTCGTTTTCGCTCCATTTATATCATATAAGTTCCGCGGATGACCGGATTATTCTTGTTACTAATCGACCTGTCATATGTTCTTTTATTATTTGTAAGCCTTTTCTTTTTATTGTGTCTATCGGCGTTAATTTATCTTTTCACATTTGTTAAAGAGATCACGCGTTATTGTTTGTAATTAGATTCCGTAACAATTAATGTACCGTGCGCAGATCCCGTAATTATCATTTTTCTTGTCCATTTCTAAAATATAGTTATCTGTAACTAATAAGTCAATTCTTTGTTTTATTTTTCGAATCCTGATTCCGACGAGCTTTTCCTACAAAATTACAATTATAAACGTTATAATTTGTCCAATTATTTATCACCACTATCACTACAATTTACCGAATTTTGAGAAAAATTTGAGACATGACCCCGTATTCTCATATGAAATGCCTCATTTACCTTTTTTGGACCATCCTAATATATACATAAAAAACATTTCATTAAAGAACTGAAAAAATAGAGAAAAAAACTTAAACTAAAGTTTACTATGTCAGAACACTAAAAATAGTTTAAATCCCTAATTTCTTAGTTTATATAGTAACGTACAGCAATATCATTTTCAAAAGAAGAAAAAAATTGATATAAAAATTAGTGTATCGAATATAAAAAAATTGGATAAATCACCTATTAATATAATAATGAATGTTGATAATACGGTTAAATTCTTCATTAAATTTTGATTCACAATTTTTATTATTAAAATTATTAATAAGATGCAGTAGTCTCATACGTAAGATGTAATATTGTGCGGTATAATGAAAAGATATTTGACTAAAGAAACTGTCTGTTCCAGAATAAGAAAATGTCGCACAAACTGATCCCACATATTGAAAACAACATAATAATTCAAAAGCTGGATAATAGTTCCATGTAAATGGAAAATATGAATCAACATATAATGTATAATTTTTAAAATGTCCTGGACTATTCCAATTAGGTATGTTTTCAAAAATACATTGCAGCATACGAGAATGGGCAGTTGCATGACCCATAATGATGCACACCATCGAAAATCGTTTCCCTCTGTCACCACTTTTTATCATTATTTCTAATTCGTCATTACTTTTTTTTCTATTCCAGTCGTCCATCATAAAACTGTAAAGAGTTGACATTTCTGAAATAATGCAATTAATTTTATATATAACAAAGTAATAAGGACCAAATAAGAATCGTAAAAATTTAAGAATAATTAAAATATCGTTATTTTCGAAGATATTTTAAAGATGTATTGAGATGTTCCAAGTAGAATAGTCTGCAGAATGGTTTCGAACTTTCTGCAGACATTCAGCGGAATCCTGTTTGCTAGAGCTTGGAGACATTCTGCCGAAAGTCTGGTGATTCAAAAAGGTTCATGAAAGTATGAAAAAACAATTTTTTTTTTTTTTTGAACTATCAGACTTTCTGCAGAATGTCTGCAGACTTTAGCAGACAGGAGTCCGTTGAATATTTGCAGCAAGTTTGTTTCACTTTCTACAAATTCTTTTACTTGGATGTTTTTTATATCTGTCAACTTAAACGGCACTAATTGAAATTAGTAAAAATTTTAAATGTAAATAATTAGAAAATTGAGTACAAACTTTGTTTATTGCGATAAAGTACGATCATTTTAATGAAAGCGACCAAGTACGGTAGTTCTGCTACACATAAGACATTACTCAAACGATCCATATCTCCCCAAACTTGAAACACTCTAATGCTTTGAGGAATAAATACACCGAAAGCAAGAAAAAATAAACTAATAATAAATAAGCATTTTGATAATTTTTCATTTTTTTGAGTTGGCCATGCTCCAAAAGTTCCGATACTAATTCGAGAGAATGATGAAAAACTTTCCAAGTAGTTATCTTTAAAGATAATTAAAATTCAATATACAGAAATTAAAAACAGGGTAGCAACCAATTGCCTAGAGATTTTTTTTTCTGGGTCAGTCCACTGACTTTCGTCTAATAGTGGTTGCGACCAAATTTTAAAAAAATTTAGTTTTAATATATATGTGAAACTCGATGATTCCCTGAGTTCATTAACCATAATATTATGGTAAAAATTTTATTCCTTTTAAAAATATTAAATATCAAAAGTAGGAGGTTCACAATGTGATTTTGTAACCTTAAATTTTCCATTTTTTTTAAAAACGCTATTATTAAAAAACTATTATAAATTAGATGTTGGAACTCACCAAAAACATAAATCACTTTATTCTGCACAGAGGAATGAAAAAATTACTGCAAAAATTTATTATTTTTGGATGATATACGATTTTAAAAAAAATTTTATTTAAATATTCTCATGATATTTATTTATTTATAACTTTTTTGTCGGTGCTCCGAAAAAATTGAGGTTTTGCACAAAAATATTTATTAATATTCTTTACCTTCTATTAAAATCTTACGAAGGTGTTTTGCTTCGTTTTGAAGATATAAATTTTCAAAATTTTTTATTTAAAAAGGTTAATTAAAAGACTTGAAGTTAACTGACCAATTTCAAATCGCTACATTTTAATATATTTTTATAAAAAATGGAGCAGTTTGAATTTGGTTAGTTAACTTCAAATCTTTTAATTAACCTTTTTAAATTTTTTAAAATTTTTAATTAAAAAATTAAAAAAATTGAAAAATTTAAGGTTACAAAATCACATTGTGAACCTCCTACTTTTGATATTTAATATTTTTAAAAGGAATAAAATTTTTACCATAATATTATGGTTAATGAACTCAGGGAATCATCGAGTTTCACATATATATTAAAACTAAATTTTTTTAAAATTTGGTCGCAACCACTATTAGACGAAAGTCAGTGGACTGACCCTTATGATCGAGTAAATTCGATTTATGAAAGGTGAAAAACCTAAAACAAACAACAACCATGAGTAAATTATAATTTTTAAACTTATGTAAATTTTAATTTATTTACTATTGTTTTGTGTTTACTTTTTTTTAATACTTAATAGTTTGTTAATTGATGTGAAATTTTTATTTCACCAAATCATAGCAACGTCACTCTAAGTATTAATCTTTTATAATTTTTCTACCTTTCACAAAAATTAAATTTAAACAAAATTCAATATTTTTATTTGACAATTTTACCGTTCATCTTTTGTTAATTTGTTGTTATACAAATAATTCAAAAGTTATTCTAGCACTTTGGTGGAGTAGTATATATATATAGATAAATTTTTATTAGATGTCAATGAAACAAAAATTATAAATGTTTTTTTAAATTATCATTTGCTAATAATATACATGGAAAAATGATTCAATAAAAATTTAGAGTTCATGAGATTATTCTTTATTTTTACAGAGAGGTGAAAACATTTATGTTATTAGAAGTATACTATAGAAAGTAGAAAAATTGAAGGTATCTATTTTTAGTGATATTACAAAAGAATAAAAAAGTATAAACCTTTATAAAATTAAGTTAACGATGAATCATTTTATAGTATTATCGAAAGTTATACTAAATAAGTAAGCGATTGCCATTACATAATTATGCCATTTTACTTAGTTTCAAGCATGCGCAAATGGTCTTTTTTTATTTCATTTGTGTTTCTCATCGTTTGTTTACGTTGAGATTTCAGATGTGTAACATTTGTAAACATATTTGATGTCTCTTTTAATTAATTTTACTTAAGAAAAAATCGAACAGAAATTATGAACATTTGCAGATATTATATAAGAAAACAATTAAATACACAAATTTCTTTTCTTATATAATTGAAAATATATATAAAATAAATATTTTATTTTGCAAAATTGTTATTTAATTTGCCAACGATAAGAAAATCTCGAATTTTTATTTAGTCGGTAAGTTATGTAAATTAAAATGGATTATTTATATTTTTGTCTCTTTGCTCCTAGTTAAGATTTTGGACTGGTTCCGGACTAATACGAAATTAGTTTGAATCTGTAGTCAGATTTTTGTCATCCATTATTAGTTCGGCTAAGCCTAAAATTTGTACGGTTTGTGTAACATACAAATTCCGGATTAGAATTTTTGAACATACTAAAATCGGATATTTACTGAATAATACCGGATTTATTACACAAATATTTCAGTGTTGCGTTATTTTATGCCACAGTAATTTTAGTGTAGATTATACTTGAAATTGCTCTTAAAGTAAACTCACATCGTTAAATGTCGCGGGATAATTGAGAATTTTGTTTAATTCTTGTGTGATATTTTTTAATGATCTCGTTTTAATAAATTGTTCATTATTTTATCTTATGTGAGAATTGTGGTTTTCTTGAACCCATCCTTTTCAATCTAAGCTAGCGGCAACTTTTCCGAAATTCATTGTGGTTTTCAATCTAATAATTGATTTTTGCTATTTTGTTTATTTTGTCTTTATTCCATACTAGACACAATATTATAGGTTCCTAACTAAAAATTTAAAAAACAACAATAAATAATTAAAAAAAACCATAAAAAATTGAAAAAAAATTGTTTATATGTAACTTTTTAAAAATAGAGTAATTTTAAAGGTATATATCCAAAAATTCGTAAAAAATTGCATAAAATTGCAAAATAACCCTTTTTCGGGTTAAAATTGAAAAAACATGTTACAAAATAAAGTATGTAAGATTTTCTAAAAGCATATGGCAAAGTATTTTGATTTATTTGAAAATAAGTGAAAATAGATTTTCCAAGGACGGTGTCAAGGTCACAGGGTCGGTGTCGTTTTTGGAAATTTGTTAACTTAATATAATAGAAGATTTCTGCCTTTTTATTAGAATTTAGTTCTATCATCTATCTATTTTATAGAATAATGTTTTGTCTTATTTTTGAGATTTGTCCCAAGAAAAAATTAACGCATATATGATGATAGATGTATGTAAAAACGATAAAATTTAAATGTTTTTTTTTATAATTAATAATAATTTTTAAATAAAATCGGGTAAAATTATAAAGGAGTAATCACTTTACAATTTAATCGTAGAATAAAATTCTATTTATTTTACTGTCATCTCGTACGTATACAATTAATAACTGCTGATATCAATGATTTTGCAAGATGCATAAAAGAACATCTTTTTCATAAGGAAAATATTTAAATTAAATTATAAACAGAGGAGAGTCGGATAGTCCTAGCAACTTAAAGTTTTTTGAATTTTATATTTAAAAAAAAATATATATATACCCACCTTTAAACTAACTGAAGTTAGAGTACTAAACTTATTGTATAAAATTAATTATTGAAAATTTATAAATCATAATAATATTAGATAATTAAGTATGTGCTTATATGTAGGACCGTAGTTATCCGACTTTCCTCAATGTATTAATCAATTAACAACGTTCTGCAGTGGTTTCTTTTTAAAATGGACGCTAGTTCGTATACTTAAATTCAAAGTAATTGTTTAAATTTTCTGCTTTTGATTTTTTTATTTCAGCTTTTCGGTTTGGACTTTTTGATCAAGCAGGACAAAAAATCCAATCCAAAAAGTCGTATATGAAATTATTTTATGCGATATCTATCCGATTTGCGAAAAAAATTTTTTTTTCTTATAATAATCATACGAATTGGCTGCTATTTTTACAAAGTGCTATTGCGGAACATTGATAAGAAAAACATTTTTGATTTAGTTAAAAAAAAATTTTCCAGATCGCAAATATTTTTTTCTCCATCCAGTAAAGAGTATTATTGTTAGCTTTTTCTCATAGTTATTAGGAATGACAAATATCCCAATGATGTTTTAACAAGCTGAAATTATAAAACAAATTACTAAACTATTGCTACGTCACCGTGACGGAAATATAATTAAATATAAATAATAAATAATATGTATTTAGTTAGGCTCCTAGTCATGAGAGGAGCCCACTAAAAATCAGAGTTACATTGTTACTGTCAAGAAAGAAATAGATCATTTTTGATCTATTAAACTTAAAACTCTTGCAAGCAGTATGCCTTAATGGTGCGTCTCCAATACGAACCTAAGAACATTTTTAAACGTATGACGTCACCAATGCTAAATCTTTACTGCTTGCAAGAGTTTTAAGTTTAATAGATCAAAAATGATCTATTTCTTTCTTGACAGTAATTTTAATAATAACCTGTATGAGAAAAATGTGTTTTAGTTTTAAAAACATTATTATTCAATATTACCATAAAAATGAACTTGCCATTAAGGCCAGGTCCAAGTGAGGCAGCGCCATCTACATTGATACTAAAATTTTGGAAAATTTTCAACAGCCTTTTCTTGAAAACAAGATGGTAAAATGCTTTTTCCTTTATGGATAATTGATTATTGGCAAGATATACACCAGCTAAAACTTTTTTTGAGTTAAAATAATAAAAAAAATTTCATGTCAATAAATTAAATATCAGCACTTTTTTCACAAAAACTGTAACAGTACTTTCTCAGAAATTACAATCAAAAATGAAATTTCCATTTGGAAAATTAATAAACGCTAAAAAATACACGATCTAAGATTTACCAATCACGAAAATAACAAAAAAAAATTTTATTAAATATTTAACATATTGATACTGCTTTACTGATGGTGACAGCCCCTTGGTAGATTATGTATTTCAGGTGGTTAGCAACAGCGCCAATCTCCTCCTTTCGGCAAATCTGCGAAACGTCTGGTGACATATATAACCTGCCAAACGGCTGTCATAATGAGTAAAATATGTTATGTTAAAATACTTTTTTTTGTTATTTTCGTGATTGGTAAATCTTAGGTCGTGTATTTTTTAGCGTTTATTAATTTTCCAAATGGAAATTGCATTTTTGATTGTAATTTCTGAGAAAGTACTGTTACAGTTTTTGTGAAAAAAGTGCTCATATTTAATTTATTGACATGAAATTTTTTTTATTATTTTAACTCAAAAAAAGTTTTAGCTGGTGTATATCTTGCCAATAATCAATTATCCATAAAGGAAAAAGCATTTTACCATCTTGTTTTCAAGAAAAGGCTGTTGAAAATTTTCCAAAATTTTAGTATCAATGTAGATGGCGCTGCCTCACTTGGACCTGGCCGTAAGCATATGTTGTGACAGTCATGAATGTACTGTGATAGTGAAACGTGCTTTAACTATAATGTTTTATTTACGCTTTTAAATACAAATTATTTGTTTTTATTTTCTACGTGATTTTCAATAAACATTGTATGTGAAAAGCCAAAAGTGCACTGTTATCGTCTAAATTAAGGAAATTAAGGTAAAATTCATTTTTGTTTTTAACAACTTACACTTCCAAATAGTCTAAAGTTGAAAACAACAAATTTTCCTGCGGTTATTTCTTTAGGTTTTTTGCCACTTTGCATAAGTAAGAGAAGACATTTTGCTTTTTGCGAAGGCAAATTAAACCACTCGCTTTCGTATGCTGTGTCTGCAAATGCATAACTCTAAAAATATTTTTATTATTGCAATGTTTCATACATATAGACTCTGGAAAAAGAAATTTAATTTATATTCCAATAATCTGCTATTTTACAATATTGAAATAAATATTTTATTTGAATTAATTAAATTGTATATGCAAATTAGAAATAAATCAGTTGAATTTTCGGGATCACTGATTATGAATTTATTATCAGATTTGCAAATAGAGACCCCGTAAATTCCTTAAGTATCAAGTTTTAAGCTAATTTGATACTATACTATACTTTTTTTTTTTTGCTAAAAATGTATTTTGCTCAAAATGTTAATTTTGATTGTAAACATTGTTTTTTTAATAAATTTTTTTAGTACATCTTACTTCCATTTGTAACATATCAGCTAAATAGCAATAAATGTAGAAGTTTCCTAATATGTACATGAAAAATACCACTATAAAAATGATATCTGGTAACATAGAATTGCGATTCTCATGAGTTAAGTACTGAAATTAATGTTAAACAATTTTAATATCTGAATTAGAGAAAAATATAAAGTTACCTTGATTTAATTCGTTATCACAATTTTTCTATGAAAATACAGACACAAAAAAACAAAAACTCAAATTCCTTGAGAGTGTAATTTTATTTTTTTAAATTTAAATAATAAAACTTATTGAATTTTGAAATGATTAACATATTTACCAAAATAAGATAGTAAGCTTGCAAACAAATTTGAAAAGTACAAGCAAGAAGCTGCACTAGAAACATCATGTAGAAGGTGCTTTCTATTATTTCAATACACCTAAAAGATTTTATTAATTAATGCCTAAATATTTCTTTAATACCCAGTAAAAAAAGTTGTATAGCAGAAGCCAGGATTCCGTATACCAACTCCTAATATTGTATACGGAATCTTCACTTTTTAGTATTACAGCCTTTACTGTAATACTGAATTATAAGGAGGTTGTGTACGAACAACTTTTGCATCACTTTGAATAAAGAAATACCTGTTTTAAGAAGAAATGAATGGTTAAATTTTAATTTAGAATATTAAAAATATGAGAGAAGCAGGTGCATGGCGCCTCCATTGCAGAGTTTTGTGGCCTGCCAAGGTAACGTTTACTACCATGGTAACGGTTGCTATAGAAACAGTTGCTATGAAAACGATTGCTATGGTAACGGTTGCTATGGTATCGGTTGTTATGGAAATGGTTGCTATGTTAACTGTTACCATGGCAACCATACAATCTCCTTATAATTCAGTATTACAGTAAAGACTGTAATACTAAACAGTGAAGATTCCTTATACCAGATTAGGGAGTTGGTATACGTAACCCTAGCTTCAGCTATACAATTTTTTTTACTAGGTACGTTGTTATTGATGTTACATTGGATCAGAAGGCATGCAAAAGCGGAAATTAATTTAAGATTTCAACAGATTCAATTGAAACTTTGATTTCTAAACTTTTTTGAAGTCGTTGATTGCAAAGATTTAATTGGAATGATAGAAAAAGTATAAGATATAGTAAGAAATGTAATATATTTGATAAATAACCTAATTATGTGATAGTGGAACTTGATAATATTACTAAATTCTTCATTAAAGGTATCAAATTTTGCATTATGAAAATTATTGATAAGATATAGAAATCTCAAACGTAAGATATGATATTGTGCTGTATAGTGAAAAGATATTTGACTGAAGAAACTATCGGTTCCAGCGTAAGCAAATGTTGCACAGAGCGATGCTATATATTGAAAAGAACATAAAATTTCAGCAATTGGACTGTAATTCCATGTAAATGGAAAATATGAATCAACATATAGTGTATAATTTTTAAAATGTTCTTGACTATTCCAATTAGACATATTTGCATGAATCATTTGAAATAAACGAGCGTTAATGGTTACATGACCCATAACTATGCATATCAACGAAAAACGTTTTCCTCTGCGACCACTCTTAATCATTATATCTAATTCCTTATTACTTTTATCAGTGTTCCAATCGTCCTTCATATAATCATAAAGAGTTGTCATTTCTGAAAGCGGGGAAATAATCATCAAAATTTCAATTAAAGTACATAGGGAATAAATAAATTAATTTATAAAATTAATCATAAAAATTTTTAGAATTATAAATATAAAAGAAAAATATTCCTTCTTAAAGGGGGTACACCAGTTGTAACTTTCAAAAAAACGATTATTTATTTTTTTTTTTGCATTTTCTTAAACTATATATTTTTAGAAGTGTGTCTGCGATGGGGAAACAACTAAAAAATTTGATTTACACTTACTTCATACTTCAAAATAATTGACGATACATCACATAATTCAGGATAATTCATATAATTCAAGATAATTCTTGTAATTCGCGATATTCCAAATAAATTCATGTTAATTCACGATACTTCAGATAATTCAGTATAATTCAAATTAATTCAAGATAATTCATAGTAATTCCATATAATTTAAAGAAATTTCAAAGTAATTTACGATAATTCACGATACTTCAGATAATTCATATAACTTAAATTAACTCAAGATAATTCATAGTAATTCGAGAGAATTCAAAGTAATTTATTATAATTCACGATACTTTAGATAATTATTGTAATTCAAGATATTTCAAAGTAATTCATGTTAATTCACGATAATTCAGTATAATTCAAATTAATTCAAATTAATTCAAAACAATTCATAGTAATTCGATATAATTCAAAGAAATTCAAATTAATTTATGATAATTCACGATACTTCAAGTTAATTGAAGATAATTCATAATAATTCGAGATAATTCAATGTAATTGATAGTAATTCATGTTAATTCAGGATACTTCAGATAATTCATATAACTTAAGTTAACTCTAGATAATTAATAGTAATTCTAAAGAAATTAAAGTAATTTATGAGAATTCACGATACTTTAGATAATTTTTTTAATTCGAGATATTTCAATGTAATTCATGTTAATTCACGATAATTTAGTATAATTCAAATTAATTTAAGATAATTCACAATACTTCAAGTTAATTCAAGATAATTCATAATAATTCGAGATAATTGAAAGTAATTAAAAGTAATTCATGTTAATTCACGATACTTTAGATGATTCTTGTAATTCGAGACAGTTCAAAGTAATTTATTTATTTATTTATTTGTACACGGGTTTACAAAAATACCCTTTATTATGAACAAAAACCGTACAAACTAAAAGAAAAACTTAAACAAAAAAAAAGATGAGTGTGACTCCTCTACCTAATCAAAATTACTTAAATATTTCGATAACTCGAACAAAAAACTGGAATTACGTAATTAATGTTAATTCACGATAATTCAGTATAACTAAAATTAATTCAAATTAATTCAAGATAATTCATAGTAACTCGATATAATTCAAAAAAATTCAAAGTAATTTATGATAATTCACGATATTTCAAGTTAATTCAAGATAATTCATAATAATTCGAGACAATTCAAAATAATTCATGTTAATTCACGATACTTCAGATAATTCATATAACTTAAGTTAACTGAAGATAATTCATAGTAATTCGAGAGAATTCAAAGTAATTTATGATAATTCACGATACTTTAGATAATTATTGTAATTCGAGATATTTCAAAGTATTTCATGTTAATTCATGATAATTCAGTTTAATTCAAATTAATTCAAGATAATTCATAGTAATTCGATATAATTCAAAGAAATTTATGATAATTCACGATACTTCAAGTTAATTCAAGATAATTCATAATAATTCTAGATAATTCAAAGTAATTCATGATAATTCACGATACTTCAAGTTAATTTAAAATAATTCATTGTAATTCGAGATAATTCATAGTAACTCGATATAATTCGAAGTAATTCATATTAATTGATGATAATTCACGATACTTTAAGTTAATTTAAGATAATTCATAGTAATTCGTGATATTTCATAGTAATTCATGTTAATTCACAATACTTCATAGTAATTGGAGATAATTTAAAGTAATTTAAGGTAATTCTTGATAACTCACAATACTTTAGATAATTCAGGATAACTCGACACAAGTGTACACCTTAATTCAGAAGTTATTTACCCCTTGTGTGTCTGTAAATTTTTATGTTGATGAACTATACTTGCGGAATTTTGGTCACCGTTTTTTCCGATAGCGTCACTTCGACGAAACATAAAGCTTTTGATAAAAAAAAATGTTTTGTTGATGTTAATTAAAATTCTAGACATGTATTTTTAGGTAATAAATATTTTTAAAAAAAATTATGGTTTATTAAGAAAACATTCTTGAAAAAGACCTTTTGGACGTTACAATTGGTGTACCCCCCTTAAGTGTAAGTCTCTATTTTGAAAAAAAAATTAATATAAACTTTAAAATTGTTAAGACAGTTCGTGCATTTATTTATTTACCAAAGATTTTGAAAGCATAATTTTAAATTGCAATGGAAAACATTTTTTTTTGTCTAGAATGTACTAAGTTTACTATGCCAAATTTACATTAGGATAAATTGTGATCTAATTATGATTTACTATTTTTTTTATTGTGATTGGTGTTATGCATCTTTTGATAAAATTTTATACAAACTTTTTTTATTGCGATAAAGTACAATCATTTTTAACAAACAGACTAAATACGTCAGTTCTGCTGTACACAAAATGTTGGTCACATGATCCAAATTTTCTCGAACTTGAATCAATTTACATCCTTGAGGAATAAATACACCGAATAAAAGACACAATAAACTAATAATAAATAAGAATCTTGATAGTTTTTCATTTTTTTGAGTGGGCCACGATCCAAAAGACATCAGACTCATTCGAGAGAATAATGTAAAAACTTCCAAATAATCTTTAAAGATAATTAGAAATTAATTTTCAGAAATAAAAATATTCAATATATTTTTTACATGTTAAATTACGTCATCTATAATAGTCACATACCGTGGTTATCTCAATTTCCGTCCAGTTTTATTTTGAAGATAACATTTATAAAAAAATTATTTTCTTTTATTGTTGAATAAAAATTTAAATTATTATACGAAATATTTGTAAAAATGGACGGAAACTGGGACAACGACGGTATTGTAATTGAGGAAAAATGTATATAATGCAAATTAAAAAAATTCAACTCTTTTGGACAAAAAAATATAATTTACTTTGTTTGACCTTTCTTATTGTCCATTTTTGTTAATTTCTTATTATTTTTTGTAAGCTTCATTAATTTTTTTTCTTTTAAATTTATTTTTGTTAATTTTTTCCTCTGTTAAATTCAAATGATATTCTTGCACTTTGATTATATGAGGAGAAATTTTTGTTAAATTTCAATGAATATAAAAAGTGACAAATATATCCTTTAAAATATATATCATACACCAATGTGTGAAGAAAAGATTCAATTATATTTAGAATTCATGAAACGATATAATGTATTATATAAAAGATGAAAATATTTTACATATTAGAAATACACTGTAAAGAAGAAAAATTGTAGTTATCTATTTTTAGAAAAATTATACAAAAAGAAAAAGAAAGTGTATACTTTTATCAAATTAAGTTAATGACAAATCATTTTATGTTATTATTGTTGTAGTTATTCTAAATAAGTTAACGATTCCCATTACACAATTATGTCATTTTACTTAGTTTGAAGCATGCGCAATGATAATTTTTCATTGCATTTTTGTTTCTCATCGTTTGTTTACGTTGAGATTTCATATGTGAAACATATTAAACGATTCTTAATTTTACAACAACTTCCCTTACAATTAATAAAACGAAATATAAATATTTTATTAAACAAAATTTTACATAGAGAATGATTTCTTGGATTTGTAAAAGAACTTGGGAATATTTAAATCTCGAATATTTAATATTTTTCTACTTAGTCGGTTAGTATTGTAAATTAAAATAAAACATTTTCATATTTTTTCTTTACTTTTGCTTCCTCGTGGAGGAAGCATTGTAGTCCTTTCGTTTATAAAAATTTTCAAAGTGTCGGAAACAAATTTTTCTCTGTATAGAAACATGTTATATGAGATCCTGGAGTGGGATTACAAATAGCGACAGCGCTACGAAGATTTCGCTACGTAGCGATTCTAAGCAACATTCATTTTAAAAAATTTTTTAGCTATCGGGTGACTCAAAAAATGGTATCGTTTTGATAGATTAAAGTTGGTACAATTGTTTTTCTGTGTATTTTTTTCTCATATTTGCTTTATTTTATAATTGAACAATTTTTTTAGAATCAAGAATGTATCAAATTCATAAGGATTTCCCACGATGAAGAAATGAAGCAATTAAAAGAAATATCTAAAAGCCTGACAAATTTTTCAAGTGTAACACTTCAAATCTCAAAAGTTATAAAAAAGGCAATTCTAGGCAACGATATAATTATTAATATTATTATATTAACACTTTTATTTCTAAATTTAAACCTTAAATTTTTTTATAATTAATAATTATAAACTAAATAAAACATAATAATAATAAAGAAAAAAAGGAGACATTTAATTCCAATTTCTATCTTTATAAAAAAATCAAGAAAATAATTCAACTTTATCCAATAATAATAAAATATTTACTTTTCTTTTTTATATTAATAATTAAATATTTATTGCATTTATATTTATTATCTTTCTAATAGGATTAAAAGTTTCTATTAGACATTGTCTAAAATGGAAAAAAAAATTTAATTAAAAAAATTTTGAAGATATAACCTCGAAAATAGAATTTTTGTTCTCACGCAAGGGTTAACTAAAAAAATGTATACGGCATTTTTTGTGAGTTAAAGAGTTTATCAATAAATGAAAATTTAAATCAATTTAATTAAAAAATTATTAATTAATTTAATTAAAAAAAATTATCAATTTTAAAATGTTTGCTAACTGTTGAATGTAAATGTTATCTAATTTCCTTAAAAATACTGAAATTCTTTTAAGAAAACACAAAAAACTCATTAATTTTGAGCATTGTTTGTAAATTTTTTTGATCCATTTTAACGAAAAATACGGTAGTTATGTAGTGATGTCCTCTGATGTTCCTGATATGTTTTCTCGACAGCATTTTTAATTTTTACCTCAAATGAAAAAAAAAAATTTTTACGTATTTAACTTATTTTCTAAAAATATGAACCTTAATGCAGGTGAAAGTGAAAATTTTTGAATGTTTCGGAGGAAAAAAAACTTATTATAAAGTAATAAGGATTTAAAAATGAGATAGATACAATTTTTTCTTTCCATCTGTTTTATTTATAAATACCAATACAAAAATACAAAAATTGACAGAATTGAGAACAATTGCACAACTAAAGTACTATCATACAGGAGAAGCGACAGAGCATTACCATTGTTATATTCTTTTTCTTTATACTGTAATTATGATTGATAATTCATTTTTATCCGTATTATTATTTCCTTTTTTTTAAAGTTATTAAAAATGACAAATATCCTAACGATGTACCAACAAGCTAGAATTAAATATTTATAATTAAATTATAATTATTTATAGTATGTAGGTATTACAATATTTATTTACTGTTATATTTAAAGATTTGTGAACGCAAAATGCAGTTGTATCTTCAAAAGTCCGACCATTCTATATTTAAACTAAAATAGCCTAATTGTTTTTTTTATTTAATATTATTTTTATTTACTAAAAATAGTTACCTGCAAGATTAATATCAACTCACTTTTCTAAACAGTCTGAAGTTAAAAACGAAAAATTTTCCCGCTGTTATTTTTACAGGTTTATTACCACTTTGTATAATTAAGAGAAGAGATTTTGCTTTTTGTGAAGGCAAGTTAAACCATTCACATTCGTATGCCGCGTCAGCAAACGCATAACTCTAAAAATATTTTGTATTAAGAGTGTTGAACAGTCTCTGAAATTCTTTGGCAAAGAGGGACCTTTAATTATCACCCTATAAAAATGGCACTGAACCTAAAAATGATAAACATTGATTTTAAAATACATTTTTCTTGAATTACGAACACTTTTTATAAAATCGGCTAAAACACCAAGGATCCTTATCTTATAAATTTCCTAAATCTGAAAGATTGTGCAAATCCATACAAAAACGCGTTTAAAAAATGAAAAAGTAGAAAAGTAATATAATAACAGGTTCATTACGTCCTGTCCCCATCAGATGGCAGGAGCATGCAGGGAGCACAAAATCGCAGCTGTTATTATATTACTTTCCTACTTTTTCATTTTTTAATCGCGTTTTTGTATGGATTTGCACACATTTTCAGATTTAAGAAATTTATAAGATAAGGATCCTTTGTGTTTTGGCCGATTTTGTAAAAAGTGTCCGTACTTCGAGAAAAAAATATTTTAAAATCAATTTTTATCATTTTCGCGTTCAGCGCCGTTTTTAAAGGGCGATAATTAAAGGTCCCTCTCAACCAAAGAAATTCAGAGACCGTTTAACTATGTTAATAAATTATTTAGCCGCAAAAAAATTTTATCAATTTTTTGTTACTATATCTTACTTCCGTTTGTAACATTTCAGCTAAATAACAATAGATGTAGAAGTTTCCTATTATAAAAATGGTATACACTACTATAAACAAGATACCTACTAAAATTGAACTGGGATTTTCTTGACCTATGTACTGAAAAAATGTTAAATAATTTTTCATGGTGATAATGAGGATTGAAATAAGTAAAATAAATAGAAATAATTTAGTCATGTCACACAAATTTACTTACCAGAATAAAAAAGTAACCTAGCAAACAAAATTGAACTGTACAAGCAAGTAGTTGAACGAGAAACATCAAAAAGAAGTTGTTTTCTATGATTTCAATGCAACTGTATTGTACAAAAGACAGTTATATATTATTTTAATGTTTAAATATTAATAAGTAGTTTATTTTAATAGGATAATTATGGGACTATATAAAGACATATTATAAATTTTTTAACGTTTCGGAATCGTTACCGATTCCCTCATCAGAATTTATTCTTCTAAAAAGTAATATTACAAAATGAGTAATTTTTAGATTATGATATATAGGTCTAAATATTAATAAAAAATTCATATTAAATAAATATTAATATTCAGCGAAATTATTCTATTATTGTTAATTTTTTTCTATTTTTGTAATATGCTGCAATTATAGTTATTTGCAGTCAAACTTTTTTTTTATATCCTTATAAAAAAAAAGTTTTATTATCTTAAGGAGGTTATAGCGGAAATAGAATTAACATTAGTAATTTTATGAAACTTAGTCCACTATTAGATAAATGTTTGAAAATTATGTAGATAAATTTTTCAGACCTCTAGGTTCTTGTGAAAAAAGTTATAAGCATTTTTGTTTTTTAACAATTAACATTGTGTCTTATGGGAATTAAGTACTTTTTCATACATATTTACTCACCACAAAATAATTAACATTAGGAAATTGATGAAACTTAAATATCTGTTTAAAAAAGTGTTATTAGGTTCTTGAGGGAGCTGCAATAAATTAATTTTTAACAATATTTCACGTTTTATACGTTAAATTGAACAGCTGTCAGAACGTCAGGCAACGTTGCACACTTGATCATGCATATTATACATTAATTTTGCGCGCTAAATTTTAAAATGTTGATTCTAATAGCACGTATAAAATACGTTGTATTTAAAAAGAAAATAAAAGTTAATAAAGAAAATTGATTATACATTTTTAAAATTAAATTAAAGTTAATTAAATAGAGGGATAATTGTTTTATTAAAGTAAACAAGTCATATAGCAACCATTTGCAACTCGACTGACGTAATGTGGTGTTGCCAGACGTTTCACAGTACCGAGAAAGTCAAATCATAAAATAATGGTTTCTGTTTTGATTAGTTCAGTCAATCCCTATAACCTCCTTAATCATAAAATTTGCGATTAATAAATAAAATTTTGAACTGAAACAAAATTTTGTTATGTTACACCTCTGATTTCTATATATAACTGGATAGGCAACTCATGTAGAAAAGTCGTTTCCGGTGTGCTTCAGATTGAAACACTGGACGCCATATTGTTCATTCCCTGTTAAATACTCTCGTCATTTTATGCGCACGTTCGTGTCATTCGCAAGTTAATGTTGATTGCGTAGTAGTTTCCATCTATTTGACAAGTGATTTGAAGATTTTTCGAAATTTTTTATTAATATTAATATCATTGAAATTAACATTTAAATGAAAATGGTTTTAGTATGTGAGTGTTGTGGGAAAAAAGATGCAAAAGGAACTTTCTTTTCACAAGTGAGTAGGTACATATTTTAATATCATTATTCAAGTGTCTTATTTTTAGGTTATATTTTTTTTTTTGCATTTTACACTATAATATTGACATTAAAAAAAAATAATCTATTTTTTACAATTTATGCATACTTATATTTTGTAATATCCTCGGCTGAAAAAACTTGTACAAGAAAATGTACAAGTTCTTGTACATGTTCATTAATGAACTTGTACATGTTCGAGTAATGTTCTTGAACAAGTTCAGCATCCGGAATTGAGACATGTTCTTGTACCAGAACTTGTACAAGATTCTGGACCAAAAAAAAATTTACTTGTACAAGAAAATGTACATGTTCTTTTACATATTTTTTTGTGCAGGTTTCATGTACATTTTCTTGTACCAGATGTGGAACATGTTCTTGCACATGTTCATTTATGTCTTTTAAATTAAAAATTAAAAACTTTAAAGGCTGCGCAGTAGTTTTCTTTAGCCTTTACAGCTGCGCAATAATTTTTAGTATGCATAAGTGTAGAGTCTTAATAATTATAATTTATTAAAATTTCAAATTCTTGTACAAGAACATAAACGTGTTCATGTAAAAGTTCTTGTACATGAAACCTGCACAAAAAAATATGTAGGGGAATAGTGTCAGGGTTAGACACTTGTCAGGGTTGGACACTTGGCTTTTTTAAATAAGAACACTAGCGCCACCTGTGTGCGCACGTGACGAATCTTCTAGTTGTGTAACCTAACTTTTTGTGGCATTACATTTTTGGAGAATCAAAAGTAGCGTCTCCTGTGACTTCGGTGCAATCGAAGAGACAAAAAAAGTTTTGTTTGACTTGTGAATAAACCTAAAAAATGTGTAAAAAAAGCAAGAATTCGGCAAGGTAAGCTTATTGAATGTATTGTGGGGTACATAATTTAAGAAGAAAAAAAGTGAAAAATCGAATCGCGACACATGTCTGGTTATGGTTAGCACAATTCGAAAATGATGCTTCTAGTTAGGGTTGAACACCCATATTAATTATGAATTTGACACAATTTATAAATAAATTTTATTTTATTGATATTTCAGTGCAAAATTGTGCCAAAGATATTAGAAAAATAATACTTAAATTGTATAAATTTTGTTCATCATTTCATTGAGTTATTTGGAACAATAAAGCGTTATTTTTTGTAATTTGAGTTAATTCCTTTTTTAAACCCATGAAGCTTTACAATTTGTAAACAATAAGTAAAGATAAACATGAAAAAATAAGAATAAAAAACATTACAAATGTTATTTTACGTTTTTACCAATAATGCGTTTCGATTTTCAAAAAGTGTCCAACCCTGACTGAAAAGTCCAACCCTGACTAGATTTTATTTTTTTAATGTTTATAACTTTTTTAATTTTAGACCAATCAATTTACGGTCCACAGCAAAAGTGTTCCTCTTTTGTAGATCTTTCCACCCATATACCACAATTGACTGAATTTATCTAAACAAAATATTTATAAACAAAAAACCAAAACTGTATCCAACCCTGACACTATTCCCCTACAAGAAAATGTAAATTTTCTTGTACAAGTTTTTTCAGCCGGGTCCTTTATCATATTTAAAAATTAGAAAATATGACTTTTGTGTCTAACGTTCAGGGAACACAGAAAATGTCTGAGAATTTCATTTAAAGTCAGGGAAATTTCTATAAATTTATACAAAAATTAAAATTTTTTGTCAATTGAAAAATTTTTTTTAATCTAATAAGACTTAAATAATGGTGTTTTCATCACCATTTTTACTATCATTAGAAAAATTTATTTATTGTTATATATGCCAGTAACAATATTTTTGTCCCAAAAAGGCCGAAATAAGATTACTAAAATGTCAGAGAAAAAGTCAAAAAATGTCAGGGAGAAGTCAGGGAATTTATTCTCAATCCTTGTTAGACACTCTGCGTTTAATATTTCTATATATTTCTTTAAATTCAGGAATTAGTAATAAAAAATTTTAATTTATAAATAAGTTAAACAAAATTTAAATATTAAGTACTTTATAATTTATATTATTCATTAAAATTATTAATTAATTAGAAAAATTAAATTAATACATTTAATTATTTCATTAAAATTAATTAATTATGTAACTAATTACTTTCTTAATTTAATATATAATAACTATTTTTTTCTAATATTAATAATAATATCAATTACGTTAGAATGTTATAAAATTAAAATTAATGACATTTATTTGATTTATTATTCAATATATTTCAATTTTCCAATAAATTATTTGAATTCTCCCGCCGCTTTTGGAATAACGGAAATGAACAATTTGGCGCTACCGGTCTTTTAATCGAAGTACGGTAGGCAACACAATCGCCCATCTGGTTATATATGGAGATTATAGTGATCAAATCTAAATTGTTATAAAAATTTTAAGCAATATAAAATTTTCGATAAATGACCTATTAATATGATAATGTACGTTGATAATGTTGGCAAATTCTTCATTGAATTGTAATTCCAATTTTGAGCTATTAAAATTATTAATAAAATGTAGAAGTCTTAAACGTAAGATGTGATATTGTGCGGCATAATGAAAAGATATTTGACTAAAGAAACTATCTGTTCCAGCATAAGCAAGTGTTGCACAAAATGTTCCAATATATTCGCAACAGCATACAATTTCAAAAGTTGGACTATAGTTCCATATAAATGGATAATATGAATCAACATAAAGTGTAAAATTTTTTAAATGTTCTGGACTATTCCAATTAGACATATTTGCATGAATCCATTGAATTAGACGTGAATTATTGGTGAAAATACCCATAATTATGCATATTAATGAAAATTTTTTTCCCTTGTGACCACTTTTAATCATTATATTTAATTCTTTACTACTTTTCTCACTATTCCAGTCACTTATCATATAATTGTAAAGAGTTGACATTTCTGAAATAATATACAATAAGAGAAACAATGGAAATTTAAATTTGAAAAATTACGAAAATTAGGATTAAGAAGTTAAAATTTATTAATAAATTATAAATAAATAATTTTTTTCCCACTAATTCATTATAGTATTTAATTAATTCACAGAAAAAATTTCAATGACTAATTCAAATCAATTAAAATTTACAGAGTAAGATTGTTTTGTTATCTATATTGAGATATTTGATGTAATATATAATTTTTTTTTTAAATTTCATACAAACTTTGTTTATTGCGATAAAGTACAACCATTTTTATTAAAGCAACTAAATACGGCAATTCTGCTGTACACAACACGTTTGTTAGACGATCCAAATCTTTCCAAACTTGAAACAATCTACAGCCTTGAGGAATAAATACACCAAAAAGTACACATAATAAACTAATAATAAATAAGCTTCTTGATAATTTCTTATTTTTTTGAGTTGGCCACGCTCCAAAGCTTCCAAGTGTTATTCGAGAGAATGTTGTTAAAGCTTTAAAGTAGTTATCTTTAAAAATAATTAGAAATGAATTTTGAAAAAAAATCAAAACACTCTATTTTCGCATCAAGTAACATAATTTGTAATTATTTTATTTCTTGCAATATATTTTTACCGTTCATTTTTGTTAAATTGTTTATTTTTTTTTTTTATAAGCTTCGTTGTATTTTCTGTTAAATTTTAATTACATTTTCACAATTTGACTAAATAATGAAAAATTATTTTTGTTATGTGAATAAACAAAGAATGATAATATCCATTAAAAAAAAAAATTTTATGCCAATAATGTACGTGGTATAACGATTTAGTAAATGGATAATAGAAGAGAGTTAGAAACAGTTAAGTTATTAGAAGTATACTTTAAAGAAAAATTGTATGTATCTATTTTTAGTGAAATTGGAATAATAATAAAAAAAAAAGTGTATACTATTATCAAATTAAGTTAATAACGAAATCATTTTATGATATCACTGTTGTAGTTATTCTAACTAAGTAACCGGTATCAATTACACAATTATGTTATTTTATTTAGTTTGAAGCATGCGCAATGGTGATTTTTCATTGAATTTTTATTTCTCATCGTTTGTTTCCATCGAGATTTCATATGTAAAACACAGTATACACGTCTCTTGATTTTTCATAAGATAAGATATGATTAATATTTAAATGACAAAAAATGATCAGTAAAAAGTGTAAATCTTAAATTTATTTACATAAATCAGAGAAGTTTGCGATGATCTAATTATTTGATTTTTGAACATTATATTTTGTTTGTAGAATTGAATTTTAAATTTTTGACTTTTTTTGAGCCAAATTTAACGGTTGTTTTTTTGGCTAAAACTCAATTGTAAACAAATATTGATAAAACAATTTTAAGTCGACGAAAAATTATATACTCCAAAAGACATATGAAAATTGATGCAATTGATATTAAAAAATCTGAATAATTTAATGTGATGTTTATTTTAATTTTTGGTGAAAATAAAATGGCAAATTCTTATTTAACAGGAGATTTTTCACATTTCGACAATTATGAAAAGAGAACCGTATCGATATTGAAAACGATTTTTAAAATTTCGTATCAAAAAATCAAGGCAACGATATATTTTGTTAAAAAAATGTGAAACATCATTTATGCAATTATTTCAATTGCCTTCTACATTTGTTAAAAAAAATGTTAAAAACATTGTCAACAACTGATTTACGAAGTTTGTATGCAGCATTCTATCCAAATAGTTTCATGGAAAAATTAATAGTCGAATCAATAAAATTAACCGAAGACAGTGATGGTGAATCATCGGTTGATCAATTTCAGGATAATGAGGATAATAATAGTGATAATTCATCGTCCGATGAAAGTGATGATTAATAATTGTCGGGAAGAAATTAAATTAGTTTATGTTACTTCATTCAAATAATTTTTATATGATTTAAAAAATCTTTTGTAATTTCAGTTATATTTTATTTAAGGCCAGGTCCAAGTGAGGCAGCGCCATCTACATTGATACTAAAATTTTGGAAAATTTTCAACAGCCTTTTCTTGAAAACAAGAAGGTAAAATGCTTTTTCCTTTATGGATAATTGATTATTGGCAAGATATACACCAGCTAAAACTTTTTTTGAGTTAAAATAATAAAAAAAATTTCATGTCAATAAATTAAATATGAGTACTTTTTTCACAAAAACTGTAACAGTACTTTCTCAGAAATTACAATCAAAAATGCAATTTCCATTTGGAAAATTAATAAACGCTAAAAAATACACGACCTAAGATTTACCAATCACGAAAATAACAAAAAAAAATTTTATTAAATATTTAACATATTGATACTGCTTTACTGATTGTGACAGCCCTTTGGTAGATTATGTATTTCAGGTGGTTAGCAACAGCGCCAATCTCCTCCTTTCGGCAAATCTGCGAAACGTCTGGTGACATATATAACCTGCCAAACGGCTGTCATAATGAGTAAAATATGTTATGTTAAAATACTTTTTTTTTTTATTTTCGTGATTGATAAATCTTAGGTCGTGTATTTTTTAGCGTTTATTAATTTTCCAAATGGACATTGCATTTTTGATTGTAATTTCTGAGAAAGTACTGTTACAGTTTTTGTGAAAAAAGTGCTCATATTTAATTTATTGACATGAAATTTTTTTTATTATTTTAACTCAAAAAAAGTTTTAGCTGGTGTATATCTTGCCAATAATCAATTATCCATAAAGGAAAAAGCATTTTACCATCTTGTTTTCAAGAAAAGGCTGTTGAAAATTTTCCAAAATTTTAGTTTCAATGTAGATGGCGCTGCCTCACTTGGACCTGGCCTTAAACTGTGATATTACAATTGTAATGATAAAATAGTTTAGTAGATGTATATGAATATACAATTTAAATTACGATCTGAATCGTAATACTTGAATGCTTTTATGCGTGAATTGTAAGTTTCACTGTATGCGAACAAATTGTTTTGTTAAATTTATCGAAACTAAAATTCAAAGTCTCTCTTATATTAATCCCGATGTTAGGGAATTAAATATATGAAATAAAGTTTTTAATTACTATAAAATCAAGTCTATTTATCTTTTTTCAAAATAGGACCTTTTATTAGATATATACTCGATAGTACGATGCAAAAGAAATTGAGGAGCCGGATCGTAGAACCGATTCTTCGCTCTCTCCGGAGTCCCTCAAGTGAGCCAGCTTTCAGCTGCGCGGGGGACTTGCGCATTAGTGAAGAATCGGTTCTACGATCCGACTCCTCAATTATTAAGGAAAATTTTTTATTAGGAATAGTATTTGTTTTATGACAAAAAAATTTGTGACATTTAGGGAAAATAATTTTTTTTTATTTAAACTACATACACCAGTTTTAACATTAAATATAATTACAAAAGCACACATTATTACTAAAAATTAGTATAATGATATGGAATTTAAATAAATTTATTTTTACTAAATTGTGAAATAAACTCAGAATCGTGGCAACATTTTAATGTAATTTTTCAACGTTGGTAGCAATGTAAATTATAAGATATTCAGGTTTTCCCCCTACATTGGCACAGAGTTGCCAATGACCCTACCTAAACGCTACTGCGCTTGCGCTACGACAACTCTCTAATAGGACGAAAAAAGCGCGCTTATATAAAATGCTTAATAATAAGAAAAGGTTAATGAAGCAATATAAAAATATTTTCACTATTGAATTTCTTTTGTTAGTTAATTATATTGCTTCCTAATAAAAAAATATTAATTTACTTAATGTACTTTAGTATGTAAAAATAATAATAATAATAATTATTTTTATTACCTATAATATTAATAATTTTATTATATTTATATCATTATTGTCATAATTTTTTAAATAAAATTTTTATAATGTATTCTTATTATCATGAATATAATATTTATTAATTAATTATTATATTATTTATTATTATTATCATTATTTTCAATAAATTATTATTAATTAATTATCTATGAGTGTATTACATCTATATAATATTTTAAAAAAATGAATCGAATTTTTTTTTGTACTTTTTTATGAGGAAAATTTGAATTGGGAAAAAAGTACCAAAAAAATTCGATTCATTTTTTAAAAATATTATATAGATGTAATACATTCATAAATAATTAATTAATAATAATTTATTGAAAATAATGATAATAATAATAAATAATTTAATAATTAATTAATAAATAGGGGAGACTGGGGCAAACCGGCCAGGTGGTAGTTTCTCAGAATTAGTCAAACTTTAAAATATGTCAATTATAAATTTGAAAAGACTATATTAAGTTATTTCTTCAGTTTGACATTTTTTAATTGTGTTTATACAATTTTATAAACAAAAGTTTGTTTTTTCGCTTCCGCTAGAAATTTTGACGGATCTGTTCATAAGCAATTTGTGAGAAAATCGTGTAATATTTATTAAAATTGTTTTTTAGGTTTAAAAGGTGCATGCCTCAGTTAAATTTATCGGTTTATAATTTAATGATTTTACTAAGCATTTTTTTATACAGGTCTTAATTGTCAAAATGAGCCTGTGGGGCAAACCGGCCTATGTCTGTTTCCCTTGCAACAGAAATTCACGAAGATCACCTATCGGCTAGAAAACTTCGTGCACGGTTTCATGAATCTTTGTCCACTTTACGGAGATTTACGAAATTTTACAAACTTCACCGACAGACGTTTCTTCGTGAACGACAACAATTAGTTGAAAATATTTGCTTTATAATAAATAAGATGTTTCTTTAATTGAAATTTAATCCTATCTTATTATTTTCCTTATTGGGAAGATTGTTTATTGATTTTTTATATTTAGTGACGTTTTCCTTACAATTAATTCTCTAAACAAACAAAAAAAAAATAAACAAGCTATTATAAAAAGTTTTTCATTAGTTTCTTTAGGTACTAGAGCCTTACAACTGTTAACATGGCCGGTTCGCCCCAGTCTCCCCTATTATATTCATGATAATAATAATACATTATAAATATTTTATTTAAAAAATTATGACAAATATAATAAAATTATTATTAATAAAATATTATTATTAAAAAAATATTATTATTAAAAAAATTTATGAAATATAAAAAAACAACTTTTAGGTTATGTATAGCCTTTTAACTTTCCGGTTTGTAAATTTACAACTTGATGACAGTATTTTTACTGCGTCCGACGTAGTAAAATTACACTGGTATTTTTTTGTGTGTGTTGATTGATAAAATACGCTGTTCATTTTTACAAATTAATTAATTTTGAATATTAGAGATAATGAATGATAATTTTTTTTTTATAAATATGTGAACATTAGTTGTTTAATTTTAATTGTACAAAGATATAATAATATTTGTTTGTCATATTTCTCACAATTTGAGATTGAAAAACCATAAAAGTGCAATTTCCCATTAACATTTATGTTAATTTACAATTTGTGATTTTAAAATTGAATTCAAAAATACAAAAAATTATGATAAATAATAATTAAAACACATATTCTTATTTATAAATTTTAACAAATAAGAAATATGAAAAATGCCATTTAGGTTATGTTATACACTAAAGCGTCAATCGAGAACACGTCAGTCGAAAACAGTGCTTGGGAACACTTGAGGGGAAGTGGGGAAGCGGGTAGAATTTAGGTTATGACTGACGCCAGTGTCGTACTTGTGATTTTTAAATTTAAGGTGTATTCAGTGCCCCACTAGTGAAAATTCTGTAGATAAAGTTCACATTGTTGCGCAAGGCACTTCATACGGCCCTGAGTGTTTTTATTTTCAAGCGATAAAAATCGC